CATGCGGTGCACTTTCACTACTGTCTGCAGCATGACGTGTGAAAGCCGGTCCCGGGGGCCTGGCAAAGATATCACAGACAAGCGCATTCTGAACAGTCTGTCGCAAGACTTCCCTGTGCATTGTAAGCAGTTCAGTGGGCTCAACCCGCAAGCCACGACTGATGACCAACCTGAAGGCATGTCCAGAGTGCGCATAAACCCTCCTACCAGGAATAAAGGGTATTTCACCAAACCAAAGTGAACAATGGTTATGGAGCACCGCAGGGGGACAGTCCTGCTGCAAGTTGGTCAGTTGTAGGAGTTCCCGTAACTCAAATTGCCTCGGCAGCACAATTGCAAACGTGAAAGGCTGTCTATCCATGTCAGGGTCAGAATCATAAACGGAAACAATAGTTGACCGAAGGTCGTCAGCATGATTCTGTGTAATAATGACCTGAGCAAGGACACCAATGGCAACATCTTCCGTGGCTGGGTGTACAATTGATAGTGTAAAGTCGGCACCAGGGGCAAGTCGGTCGCTCCATGCGGCATAAACTGCATATCTCCATGCAAGAAAATCCTCATTGATAAGGATAATCCTAGAGAGCAGGCATCTGTTCCTTTCATCTGTGTGGTCAAGAAACCAACTTTCCAAACGGTGTGTGCGTGATGCATCAGGTTCAAAGCCAACTTGGTTATCAGTGATCCTTTCCCAAAGATCACGGAAACTTTCCGGCTGAGCCTCTATGGAGAACTGGTCAATTGGTGGTAATTGATTATCAATTGCATTGTTCGCGGCATTGACAGCATTTAGCAATTCATCCATGATACTACAAACCGGTGCAGTGGGCAATGGTTCCTTAGCGTGCGAGCTTAAAGCACTTGTGCTCCTGACCGATACTTGGACCAGGGAAGTGTCTTCAGGAGCCTGGTCAACTGACAAACTCTGTGATTCCAATTCATGCTCCGGAGGCATTTGCAATAAAATACACATGCCATCATGCAGTCGGAAGGAATGTTCAGTGGACTGAAGCAAAGGATGCAACCAGACCAATCTCTGCCAGTTAATATCGGTAAGGAATGGAACTGCTTGTCTGATATCAGCAAACGTGCAAATCTTAGGTAAGGCAACTGCAAACCTCACGACTACACTGCGATCACGCATCGAACAAAACTCAATGGAAACCAAGATAGAAATCAAGGCACTAGGTCTTTGTGTAATGATGATGTGGGCTATGTGTTCTTCTACATCTGCACGCGGTGAAAAGGGAGCCACAAGGCTTAGAAGGGGACGTTCATCCGCATCTATTAGGAACCTCCACGGATGCAATACATCTTCTTCCCATTCTGATGGCAAGCCCCCCAAAACCGCTATCCTGGGATTGTTGCAAAGCCGGCTCTCCTCATGGTCCAGAAACCACGTGTAGATTGAAAAGAGAAACTCATCATCTTCATTCTCTGGGCAACTGTTGATATGCTGTGAGACCACCCGCTGCAAATCGATAAACCAGTCTTGTGGAATGTCATTGCTACTGCTATCATTAGCGGTTTCAACCTGGACAATGTCAGCAGCAGGATTGGCAGACTGACGCTGCATGGCTGAAAAATCCTCTTCCTCACTATCAGACATTGCAAACCGAGCTGGGGTGGCAAGGGAGCGTACTTCCTCGTCGCCTAATAAACTAGGAGAGTAACCCTCCGAAGGGGCATTTGCATCCATCAACCTCATGATGTCAAGTTCTGTAAAATCCTGCTGTGTCCATCTCACAACCTGATCAGTTGGACATTCAATTCGATCTGAAGGGGGAATAGCAATCCGTATGGCATCCCCATGCGAGAAGGACCGAAAGTCCAAATCATAATCGGGCCAGCGTATGTCATTGAAGAAGACTAGGCAACGTCCTCCTTCAGCATGGCAATACTTGTCAACATTGGCTAACGTCAAAATACCGTTACGGTCAGCCCTGAGAGGAACTGGCAGGACAAATCGACGTGTGATTGGGCCAAGGCGGAAATGTGATTCAACTTTATGTCCATGCAGCTCCAAATCAAAAAGCACAAGCTTAGCATCCTGACCAAGAGCAATATCAGGCAGCAGATGCGCAATGATTGGACAAACCTCGGGTGGCATTCCAGAAAGCGGGATAGCAATTTCATAAGCATCAATAACTCCCTGCCTGTGCACAGCAAAATGATGGGCGAGTTCAGTCATCATCGACTCATAATCACCCCAATCGAGGAATGCACGTATGGGGGGGTCTTGCAAATGGAAAATGATAACGTCTTGTCTGGAAGCTGATTCCGAAGGCGACTGCATGGCAGGTGAATGGGAAAGTATAGCCGAACCACTACTTGACACAGAACGATCATGGTCAGATTCATCTTGCATGGCCTGGGTAACTGTGTCAGCATTGCCTTGTGATAACGCCGAAATCAAGGCAGTCTCATGTGGTTCAAAATCGTCATGTTTGCATGTACGACTATCTCTAGCAGAGATTTGCATAAAAGTGGTGGAGTCATCATTATTAAATGAATCTGAAGGTCGGCTCAACACGGCCCATTCGGACAGCGGTTCCTGACCAACAGAATCAGGCAAATCCAGGGCAAATGGTGCAAGGGTTAAACGTGGAATGTAAAACCCCGGTGCAGCTTCCAAGATAGGATCTACAATTGGCAAGCAAAATCGCTGCTCTTTGGCAATTCTTCGATTGCTCCAAGGCTTTCCGGGCCAACTGCAAATCCAATCATGTTTCATCATAAGACTAGCAAAGTGGTCAGAATCTTCTTCTCCAATCCGCACTTCAATACAATCCGCAAAGTGCACGCACAACCCTTTGTGGTTACGATGGGGTTCTTGAGAAGTGCAAGTATGGGCATGAGAAACTGGAAACTTCGACAGAGAATTAGGTACATTGAAGTTATAGAAACTAAGATCTTGGAGCACCTCCCATCGCAGTCGACACGCATCATGTGCTGCTTGGAATTGGTCTTTGAAATTAGCTTCCTGTCTGACAGAATGATACCATGACAAACTCAAATTGAAGAATGCATCCTGAGCTCCGCATGCTGCACCATTCAGCAAATTGCTGAAATGATAGGCCTCAACGGATCCTCCATGGATGTCTAGATCTCTGGCCTCATGAAAGGGATTCAACTGAACTCCGCAATCACGGCCGCTCCTCAGGAAGAGGGCGTAGCCGACGCAGCAAAGGGCTCGAGAGACCGTTGCCTTTTGGGAGGCTTTTCCTCTTGCTTCTCGTCGCCCTTCCCAACTGCATCTGGTACCCCATCTGCATGGGAAGGAGGTGCCTCTGGCGAGATTCCTAAGGATTGTGCACAAGATCTCAAAATGGTCTGTAGCTTCTGTCTGAGCTGTTCTTCCTCCTGGTCCGTGTCTTCCAGGTCTATGGTGTCCGGAGCCTCCGGCACTGGGATCACTGGCAACGCAGACCCGGTTCCTGCTGCTCCTAGAATCTGAATTGTGCGACTCGTGGCAGAGATTTCGGTTTGTGTCCGTGTAGCCAAGTCTGTCAATGTGGCTTGATGGCGCCGGTATTCTTCTAACTGACGCTCCCACATTGTGACACCTTCTGCCACGTGTTGCAGCCATCTTGCGCGATGCGCTTTCCTCTGGTCGTTGACCTCCTTGAGGTGCTTCTTGGCTTTGTCTAAATGCTTTGCCGCCTGTTGGAGGTTTTTCAGGCCCAGTCGGCCAGCCTCCTTGTCGGCTTTCTCTAATAAAGCCTTCACATCGTCTGGGGTTTTGGTAATATCCGGATAGGCCCTTCGCAAGGCTTGTGCCATTTCCTGCAGTCCACCATCCGCATTCGTGACCTGAAATGGGCTTGCAACACTTGCGGTAGCAGGCATAAAACCCGTGGAATCCAGAGCCTGCCAAGCTTCGAAACCAGTTGTAGAAGGGGTATGGAAAGGTGAGGTAGTATCGCCAACAGTCTCCTTCCCGCTGGCCTTTCCCTCCTTTCCTTTCTTGCCCTTCCCTTTGGCACGTTGCCTGGGGGATTGCACTAATTGGGTTCCATCCTGCTCGAAATGGTGTCGGCTGGGGGATCTGGAAGACCATCTCCTGCTCTCCTCCCAACCTTCGTCCCATCCAGACCAATCCGACCGATAGCTGGTAGCCTGTGCAGCTTTGGGTTCTGTATTGTGTTTCTCTCCCGAACTCCAGTGGGCCTGGCAGTTCGGGCACTTCATATGAGATTTCTTGTTCAACCTCCAGCACTGAAGGCAACGCCAAGGATAACTTTCCAAAGGTGTAGCCATTTCTTTGTCTATCTTGGCAATAAATTTCGGGTCTCTGGAATGATGGGTGGACAGAGTGTGCCTGATTCGTAACAGGGCAGGTTTGCTTAGTAATACAATTCCTTTCCGATGCAAAAACCAAGCTCGCCTCGCTGCTGCACGGAGTCGGCGTAATCTCCGCTTCCACGATGTAGGGACACGAAAAATCGTGCAGAAAATCAAAGATCACTGTCAAAATTAATAGCAACAAAAGAATTGAGCACATAAATCAAAGTACCGCTGAGAAAATGGGCCACAGTGCCAGGGCGTACCAGTTAAGCACAGATTCCAAATAGTCAGGGCGGAAAACAAGGATTCAATGTTGTAAGTTGTCCGGTAGTGGGCCACCGCAGAGCCAGAAGTAATGAATAAAATCCAAAAAGATCCGGCGCAATAACCCTGTCAAATACCAAGAAATATCACCAGCGCGCAGCAGTTCAGTGAAAATCAGGTCCGTAAAGAGCAGATAGAGCGCAAATTTGGGACAAGTCAACCAAATCGCCAGCGACAACCACCCGCCTCAATAGTAGCAGGCAAAACCAGCGGCCACGCCGATGGCAAGCCCGTGGGCACGACGAAAACAGCCCACTAGGCAAATGGTCAAGCAGCCAACAACGGAGCACGTCCGAGGGGGGTTTGAACCAATGCCTTTTGATGTTAGTTGAAATTATAAATTTAATAAATTTACCATGACTTCAACGTTGCACTTTCTCTCGACTGAGGCTTGCAGCTCTTACACTTTCCTTCCTATCGGGCCTTCATGACATCGAGGCAACGCAAATGTCCGAAGGTCCAAACATGGAAGATCTTTTAACTTTGTAGTTTATCCCTTAAGAAAGGTTGATGTTTTTTCTGCTTTCCAACTGGATTTAGGGTAGATTCGGTAGATCTAGATAGATCTAGCATGGCATTCTTCAGTGGTTTTTGAAAAATGCGATGAGGTTTTTGAAGGTGCAAATGTGCGCCAGCCGATTCCTGTTTTTGTGATTGGAATTTGGAATGCAGAGGCAGTGCATAGGTGCTGTGTCCTATCCAGCGTGCAAAAATCGGGGTTGAAGCATCAGCAGATTCTGAAGGCCGCTGGACTGGATGTTGTTGCAGGACCGGACATGATTTGGAAACGTGAGCCAGTCAGTCAAGGTCAGGAACAGGTGAACTGAACATTTCCGAAGCGGCACCATGATCTCATGGGGTGAAAATGGTTAACTAATGATGCTGTAACATCTGTAATATGCTCTCAAAGCTAACCGTGTCTTTTGTGGGCTCTCACAGTATCACAGGCTTGCCATGGCAAAGTTGGTTTACAAAAGACTGTGAGTGTAAAAGATAGCCATCGAAAGCGCCAACGGCAGGACACAAACATCAAGCTCACCTGTTTGGCTAAGAGATACGAGGCGTGAAGATTTCCTTTGATCAAAATTGGATCTCTTTGTTTCTTGGTTTTGGGCCAGGAGCTGCTGCCTCCCGCACTCTTGGCGTTTGGTGTTCGGCAGACTCCGCAGGCGATGTGTTTCCCTGCCAACTTGTCGCTGGAACTGAGCAGAGTCCTAGAACCTGGCGCAGTCCCGAAACACTCTGTAGATCTCTGTAGATCTCTGTAGATCTCTGTAGTCTTGAAGCCTTGAAGCCTTGAAGCATCAAAGATTTTCAAAGTTGTTTTCAGAGTGCACTGTGCGATTCGTTGTGAATCTGTGAATCTGCCAGGCCTTGACATCCACGGAGGTGGAGGGTGAAATGCAGTCTTTGGCCTTGACGCTTTGCCAGAGCCAAACTATCCTGCTTGATCCTGCTTGACACTTTGAAGTTTCTGTAGTTTCATGATGTTTCATGTAGTTTCTAGTTTTCGTGGAAGTGTTTGTCCCCAGTTTCCTGTTGAAGCAAGAGCGCCATAGAGCGCCTTTCAAAATCAATGATACTTTCAAAGGCTGCAATGTGTGTGGAAGCCGTATGTCCCCAGGAATTTTAACAGCGTCGCTTATGACTCCTTCATCCGCGCATTTCGTTTATTACTACGAGGCTTCAAGGGTGAGCGCGATCTGCGTCATGACAGCGTCCATCAAGGAAATGTCAAGGAATGATCCACATGTGTTGTGTCTTGGGTAGTCATTTGGATAGTCATATTGTTAGTTGAACCTGTTCGATCTTCTTGATCGAAATTAGGATCTTTCCGTTTTTTAACTTGGTGAGGCCCTGCTGGTTCATCGCCCCCTGTCGTGGTGCCACCTGCAGGGGGCCTCAGAGAATGATGTATTGTTCATCAAAAATGATGGGGGCCATGGCGGCCATGTTACGATTCGCCGAGGTCAATCAAGTGATGGGCCCAGATTTTGAGCATTCGAATGTCGACAGTGCCGACATGATTCAGAATGACAGGCAAAAGCAGAACAGTGTTTAAGCATGAGTCAAAGCATGAGTCAAAGCATGTTAGCCGATACCCGATACCCATTGATCTCGGATTCTGAAATTGTCGAGGTGCGTGAGCCTTTGCGGGAGGAGCAGTGCAGCATCTCAAACTTCAATTTGCAACGCTGCCAAGTCTCATGTTACATCCGATCATTTCCGGTTTTGTGTCACAGTGTGTCACATTCCGATTATTTACTTTACATTATACAATGGTATTTAATGGTATATAATCATATAATGGTATATAATGGTGATTACTTTACATTACTTTGCCATGTCTGACACGCCAGGAGACTTTCTCCGTGCCTCTGTTAGCTCAGGCGATGTCCTGTGGCGACAGAAGAGACGACACATCAACGACAAACGACATACAAACATGTTTGACGATATGTGTTTAACGATGTTTACCTGTCACATCCGGGGAGGAAACACGGCCGCAGTCCGTGTACTCATTCTCCAGCGATGAGGAGGGAGCCGGGAGCCCTTCTGTTGTGAACCATGTTGAAGTGCACCAATTTGGTGTCAAGACTTGATGCCATTTTTGGTGCCGGTCCAAGCCACTCTCATCGTCTTCTAATGGTCTTTATTTCCTGCGTCGGCTTTCCAGCATTCAAATGCCAATGATGTTCCGCTTCGACTCAGGAAGTGGCCCCGTCAACTAGCAACGCATCTGGAGGTTGGAAAGTTCCAGTTCTGGAACTTGCAACGATCTGAGGCTAATAGTATGGAATAGTTGATGTGAGGATATACGAATATGAAAGAATATGAACAGGGCATAACAAGGCCAACAAGGCGACATGTGCCTCATGTGAACTCATGTGAACTCATGTGAACTCATGTGAACTCATGTGAACTCATGTGAACTCATGTGAACTCATGTGAACTCATGTGAACTCATGTGAACTCATGTGAACTCATGTGATGTGAACTCATGTGAACTCATGTGAACTCATGTGAACTCATGTGAACTCATGTGAACTCATGTGAACTCATGTGAACTCATGTGAACTCATGTGAACTCATGTGAACTCATGTGAACTCATGTGACTCATGTGAACTCATGTGAACTCATGTGAACTCATGTGAACTCATGTGAACTCATGTGAACTCATGTGAACTCATGTGAACTCATGTGAACTCATGTGAACTCATGTGAACTCATGTGAACTCATGTGAACTCATGTGAACTCATGTGAACTCATGTGATGTGAACTCTCTGTGAACTCCTGTGAACTCCTGTGAACTCCTGTGAACTCCTGTGAACTCCTGTGAACTCCTGTGAACTCCTGTGAACTCCTGTGAACTCCTGTGAACTCCTGTGAACTCCTGTGAACTCCTGTGAACTCCTGTGAACTCCTGTGAACTCATGTGAACTCATGTGAACTCATGTGAACTCATGTGAACTCATGTGAACTCATGTGAACTCATGTGAACTCATGTGAACTCATGTGAACTCATGTGAACTCATGTGAACTCATGTGAACTCATGTGAACTCATGTGAACTCATGTGAACTCATGTGAACTCATGTGAACTCATGTGAACTCATGTGAACTCATGTGCTCTTGATTTCTTCATATTTCTTCATATTTCACACGATTTCCAGGCAGTACGGTCCCAAGCATGAAGAGAACGCGCTTTCTAAGTGCAGAATCAGGCGAGGACAGTCCACCTGCACAGTGCTTCCATCGATTCACAGCAGTGTTTTCAACTGTCGAAATTGATGTCCAGACGGTCCAGGAAGCTTTCCTTTGCGCGGTTTTTGTTTCAGGACTTTATTTTTTTAAAACATAAACGTACACAAATTATATTGATAAAATACGATGATTTACACAGAAGACACTTTCACCTTAGACATCTTTAGACGGTGTATAGAGTGCCAAGTCTTGCCTTGAAACACTTTGGCACTTTTTGGCATTTTTGGCAGCCGTGTTCGCAGGCCTTTTCATGCATTTGCAGAGCCCCACAGCCGAGGCTTCGGGCCGGTGCTGTGAAAAAGTTCTGTAAATGGGAAAATCCGATTCAAAAAGTACAGCACACTGAGGACAGGTGAACAAAACATGAGTTCAATCTAAATCGTGTCATGCAACATATTGCCCCCCAAGATCAAAGAGCACATGTTGTTCTTCCCTTTGTGATTCACTTGGAGGGTTTTCGTGAGATTTCCTCGTTGCGGATACTAAAAAGGCCAAAGAGCGCGGATCAAAATTTAAAGTGAGTTGTGACTGAACGACAAGCTACTGTTTCGCAAGAACAAAGGAATAATGTGTGTTTTTCCAAAAAAACATAAATCATCAATCAAAACACAAGAGCACATAGAACACTTGCTGGTGTTGAAACGCTAGGTAGCATACTCTCTGTAGAACAACACTATTTTTAAGACTTTGCTGGAAAAGGTCTGCACGGTGCAAAATAGAAGCTTACGCATTGTGCGTCTAGCAGTGCAATAGATAATACAAGTTCTGCAAAGCTATATAAGGACAATGAGATAGCAAAATAATCTTGCGGCATAGCGCAAAGCTGCTTCAGTGGGATCATGCACAGCAAATTATCTAGTGGTACACGAGTGCACACCAGTGCATGAAGTAGCAGTGCAGCTCATAGTTTTAGCATTGAGATACCGGAGTAGTGTAATATGACTTTCAAGTAATAGAGAAATTCAGAGCTCAGCTATGCAGTAGTAGGAAAAATTAGAAGACAAATAATAGTCAAGTTGTTCAAGTATATAGTAAAGTTGTGTTTTGGCGGGAAATCAAAAACAATGTGCTGTTATCTTTTTGAAATGTGTTCTGTGAAGAGAGAGAGGTAGTGCCTGAGTCTGAGATTTTGGCTAGTTTCTCGAACAGAGTCTGGTGACATCTGGTGACCTTAATTGTGTATTCCACGATAGAAGCTTAGGATTTGTTTCATGTATTTTCAATGTATTTTCAATATACGGCAAGTTCACCAACTCGACTCCACTTGAGTTTACAAGAGATGTGCAAACTTGCGAAGGAACCGCCTACTCCTTTCTGCGCCCTACCAGACGAGGAGAGTCTCAACTTACTTGTCTTTGAACATGTAGCGCAAAACAATTTGTGCAAACATTTTAGTTTTCATTTACATCATACATCTATTTAAATCTATTCATGAGATTGCTTGACTTCGTGCTAATTTGGCGATTTGACGCTGTCCTTTGCCAGGGGAAGGAGCCCGAGGGTCGCAAGACCATGAGCATTGCGACCAAGATAGGTCAGGAACTCAGCGCTGCGTGTGGTTCTTTGGCAACTTGCAACTTAGCAAGTGATATTTTTTGGCTGTGCCCAGAAGAAACACATTTTCGATCTTTTTGTCAAAGAATATCTTGCCCAGACCCTGTGCATTGTGGCTACAGAACGGTTCTGGTCATTCCTTCCCATGTGAATGGTTGGCGATGTTTTCCCCAAGGCGTAAATTTGGCATTTAGCAGATGTAGTATGATGTAGGTGGCATTTCGATGCATTTCGATGCGTTTCGGACGTTTCGTTTCAAGGTGTCGTCTCGCTTCGTTTTCATTGCTTGAGCGACGCAACCGTGGAGCTCAAGGCTTCCAAAGCAGCCCGGAGCCAAGAGAGCCAAGAGAGCCAAGAGAGCCAAGAGAGTCGACAGACGACAGATGCACGACAGATGCACGACAGATGCAGAGACCTACTACGAATCGACTTTGCGTAGCATTTCTGGACGTAGCTTTATGATGCTTTATGGATCTTTGTAGATTTCGTAGCAGGTTTTCACTGTGTTAACACAGGTACTCATGAGACCGTCACCAGACCATACGTTTTTTGTGTTCGAAGACAATGACATCAGGGAGACCTGGCATGTAGCAGTGGTTCAAACCCGAAAAAAATCCTGCAGTATGGGAGTTTGGACCGGGTTTATTCAAGATTCAAGCATCTTATGGCTTTACCCGAAAATGCACTGAATCCAGTTTTACAGAAATGTCACTCTGACCTACTCCATCTTCACTGCGCCAAGCGCACAAATTATTGCAAATTATTGGGAATTAAAGCAAATTGCATTTATGTGGTTTCTTTTGGTTTCTTTTTCTCCAGAGGACATTTTCCAAAAGAAAGTCCTGCACAGATATGGACACATTTCTGCAGTGCGATGAGACCAGGTCAAGTTGATCATTTCCCTGAGAAAATCGCATCAGGTTGTGGCTTTTGACCTTTTCCAAGGTTATGCTCGTGGGGGACTCAGAAACCTCAGAAACCTCAAAGATCCTTTGAGCGCCTCATTTCAGCTTGTCATCAAGTTATTTGATGAGGCATTGGTCTCGACATGGCCGAGCTGGAGATGTGTTCAGGAACCAGGCGCTCAGAACGATGCTCAGAGATCAGTCGCTTAGTCGCTCCACCCATGGAGAGATATGAGAGATCGATCATATTTCCGAACGGAAGTGATGCAACATGATGCAACTGACGCAGGTGCCTTGTACGTGCCGACTCCGAGTCCAAGGCAGACCAGCACGGACCAGCATGGACCAGCATGATGCATCATGGCTGCCACACATGGCTGCCATACATGGCTCATCCCGTTGCCGCGACATGTCGGTGTTCGTGAAGTTGGGTATTTGCCGGACTTCCGATGTCGTGCGGATGTGTGTTTCACATGATTTCACGACGTTTCAATCCGATTTTCAGCGATTTTCAGGCGAAGGTCTCCCTTTCTTTGGTGGCAGCGTGGACCGCAGAGGCAAAGCTGCGAGAGGCCGAGGCTGCAGATCTCAGGCGCCCAGAACATGGAAAGATTATGGTGTAGCAGCAAGGATTGAGAAGGAAAGATGCTCCAAATATAGCAAAGATAGCAAAAAATAGCAAATGATAGGCAAAGATCCAGATGTATCCAATGTCTTGACGTGGAAAGGATGCGCAGTTCTTCAGATTGTCCTCGTGGGACTCTCGCGCATCCAATCAGGATATCGTTGGATTTGCGAAATGGGAGCTTCTTCTTCTCGCCGATGTATTTCAGGGAATTCATCAGCTTTATTCTCAGATCTGCTTATCTTATCTTATCTTACTGTATCCATTGCCTTCGACATTGGGAACGGATTTGAGATGGTTGGGATCTGCCTTTTTTCCGAGGCTTCGCCAAAACCACCCCGCCTGGTGATGTCCTGAAGCTGCCTGGTGATCCGTTGCTGTGGAGGCGGAGCGAGCAACGCTCAGCATTGAGGAAATGATGACACAGACATCAAGAGACATCAAGAGGCAAGCTGCAACAAGGACATCGATAGTATTCGATAGTCAAGGTTGTTTTACCATGTTTTACCTTTGTTATCTTTGCAACGGGTTGCAACGAATATCGAGCCGAGTCGAGGCCAGATTCCCTTTTTATTTTCGGCTGCAGGATTCGAGTCTCCCTTGACAAGGGCCTGCTCCACTGGGTGGATGAGGTGCACTGGAAACATGGGGATGTTGTGAGTGACGTAACCACGGTAGCCACAGTGGTGTGAGTCTAGAGGCAGAAGTACTGCAGACGGCAAAGATCAAGAGTGCCAATGTTTGAAGCATAACCTAACAACTTGTGACATATTTTGAAACTTTCACCTGTGGCAAATCCCCAAAGCCGGCGGAGAAACCTTAATCTCGGTTTGCAGCCTTGCTCCGTCAGGCAACTAACAAGCTCTTTGCTGAGTCCAAGATGAAACAGCTGGAATCTCAGGGAAGAACCACAATCGTCACATTATCGTCACCATTGATGGACCATCCTCGCCGAATCTAGAAATCTTTGCTGAAATCAGTCTGGAGCCAGAGCTGAGGTTCCAGTTTGATACACTCAAATCTTCTCAAATCTTCTCAACATTGTCAATAGACTCAATAGACATCAATAGACATCAATAGACTAAGGTCCAAAATCTTGCTGGACCTGCATCAGGACGTCATGCATAGTTTCCGTTCAATTTCTCTTGGGACAAAGCTTGAAACTGCCATTCAATTTGATCAGAACAACTTGTGTCCTTCATTTTGCGGTGTTCTTTTTTGATCAGAAAAACACGAGTGTCTTTTCTGCGGAGCAGGACACAGTGTCTTTCAGCAGCTTCTTTGAAGACTTCAGTATTCAGGCGCTGGTTGCGTGTTGCGTGTTTCAAACATTGGATGCACACGTGCAGGCGCCAAACTGCTTCCTTCATTTCCCCGGAGATATCCTGGTTGAAATGTTGAAATACCATTTGATACTATGATTGCTATGATTGCTATGATTGCTATGATGATTGCTATGATGTATAAACTCTGTATGATGATACTATATGATACTATGGTTTCTTGTTGAGAATCCTTTCCTAAAAAGTCCCTGTATGTCATACAACCTGTTGATTCAGGACTGCTCTTCGGCACGGCGGCCAATGATCCTTGCAGCACAACCTGGAGTTTGGGCCTCAGACCGGGAGTCATGACACATCCATACATATCCCATGTGGGTCCCATGTAGCTCCACTTAACTCAGGGAGACTTGAAAAAATACCCACAAAGCCACAAAGTGGCAATATATATATTATATAATATATATATAATATTATATATATAATATAATATATATATATATTATATATAATATATATATAGTATATAATATATAATATATAATATATAATATATAATATATAATATATAATATATAATATATAATATATATAATATATATATAATATAATATAGTATAATACAATATAATATGATATGATATGATATATCATAATATATAAATATATAATATATAATGTATAATGTATAATATATAATATATAACGTATAATATAATATATAATGTATAATATAGCAGATACAGATATGATGATCATATATGTACTAAATCATGTCATATGTCATATTATGTCATGCCACAGAGCTGGATGCTAAGGAGACCTATCACATGGAGATTGCTGCTCGCCAGAGCCACAGCACTGCAATGTTCAGCGACAAGACTTGACAAGACTCGACAAGACAAGGTACGTTTTTATCCAATTCTCCCGAATTCAGAGGCGGAGGGCGGGATGTTGCCCGGACGGTCTGGATCACCTCACCAGAACACGTTGCAATTCCATGGTGCCGTCAAGTTGAAGATGTTAGGGTCGGTCATGGGCGCGCATTACCGACGTGTTACGTGTGCACAGTGAGCACAGTCAAAGAGCTTACAGAGCTCTCACTGTGTTTTTCAAACTCAGTTCCTTTGAACAAAAAGCCACCGAGCACCCTCTTGCAGGTTACCACACGCAGGTCTCCATCTCATTTAGGCCGTTGATCGCCAAGTCAGTCCACGTTTGCCAGTCATCCAGAACATTCGAATCATATGCCATCCAAATGCCCGATTGGATTCGTGTGCTGGAAGACCTCCACTATGTGCCGTGATGCAGGGCCGTGCACTTGCAATACATGGGTCAGAAGTTCATGAAATGTTGGCAGTGGGTGTGCTGCTCAGATGATCTAAGATGATCTAAGATGATCTAAGATGATCTAGCTGTAGTGAACTCAGTGCACTAAAAAAACTGGGATGTCCCTATCATATCCTATCATGAAATAATGAGTCATGGCTGTTGATTTGAGCCAAACTGTGTGAGCTTATTTGAAACATCGCTGATGCATCTTGGATGTGTGACTTTTGTATATGTGAGGATGAAATCAAACTGGCCGTATCAGTCTTGAACTGGACATCCAAAATTTCAAGACGGTAAGATGATGCAGGTCTTTCAGTGCAACTAGTTTTAATATTTTTAATTGCTCTGATCTCTTTTGGAACTTCTCATTCTGAATTTCTCAATGATTCTGCTGTTTGAATCCGAAAACATTCCGAGCCCGTGCATTTTGCACAGAAAACCCTGAGGTCTTCGGATCCTTCCTTCCAGCTCTGACTGCGGGCCGACGTAAAGGAACTGTTGCCGCCGAGAGCAGCGAGGAGGAGAAATTGTGACGGCATACTTCGCAAATTCAGACTCAAGATGCTATATTAATATATATATATTATATGTATATATTATGTATATATATATATCTAAATTTGGCACAATTTTGCACATGGCATGAGCGTTTCATATGGCGCCGTCAGGAGACCAGCAGCTCAGCTTCCTTCGTGAGCGCCGAGGCACAGCACAAGCCATGGCTCCAGAGATGCCATGATGAGTTTCCGTTGCCATCATGGATTGAAAGCTTGGTAGGACGGTGAAACTCGTGAAGTGCCACAGGCTGGGCTGGGCTGAAAATCGTGATGTGATAAAAAGTGATGTTTGACACTTTGGATGACGACGATTTGCTGATTTGCTCGCTGCCACGACCGCATCAGGAGTCGGGGGAGAAATTCCTGGCGGCAGCAAAGGCGGCTTCCACGACAGAGCTTTTCGTGGAGTTGGCTGAAGGAGCAACGGCAGCAACGGGGAAAACGGGGAAAGTTCGGAATCACTTTTGTTATCTTTCGTTGACATCCTGGACTATTGGAGTCTATTGAGATCATTTGAAATGATTTAAGACCTATTAAGTCGATTCTGTTGCAGAATTGACAATCAATCAAAAGAGAGCCTCAAGAATTGTTGGGGAATGCGATGACACCATTTGATCATATTTGATCCCTGCATGATGGATGCGTGTTTTGCTAGGAGACTTCGCAGCTGGACCTGCTTGGGAGGCCTGGTCAAACCAGAAGCACGATCTTTGTTTAATTAATTTTAATTCGCTGCACCAATCAAACTTAACTCGTTGCAACTCTGTTGCCTTTCACCATGCGAGGCAGCTGAAAAGGCCAGCAGCTGCAAAGCACTCCAACTTTCCTGTCTCAAATCAAAAGCAACTGTATCATCCCCCTTTACATTTCCCCTATAGAATGGTAGGCCCTGGGCTCCCTATAGATCAGTTTTTATGGAATTTTGGGTGCCGTCGGGGCACTCCATTTTGTAGAAAGAGACCTGTTTGTACCCACCCAACATCACTTTATATGAGAACAAGATCATATGCCAGTGTCAGGCACCTCCATTTTGTAGAAGATTTGGAATACCATTTTGTAGAGGGGTACGGGGAGTTGATAAATACATCCACAAATGTAAATATATTTGAACACAAACAAATATCAACCGCTTTTGGTTGGCTCAGCAGTGCCGGCCGCCTCCCCCAATCGGACCGCTTTTGCGTGTCACTGGCCATGGTGCCCCTTCCCATGGCTTTCCTGGTGATGGTGGTGGTTTTCGGGGAAGGTGTCAAGGTGGCTGATGATACAGCCACCTTGACACCTGAGGAGTGGCTTCTTGTCTGCGAACGTAACTGATTGGGACAGTTGCTAGGAATAGGACACCCCCAAGAAAGACATTTCAAGAATTGGGCGCAATTTGAAAAAAAGTAAGGAAACTTTTTGGTTTTTAAAAATTCCAGTTGGAGCTACAAAATGGTAGGGCATTTCCATGCATTTCCATTGGCAGCTACAAAATGGTGGGATACAGAAATAGTTAGACCATGTAGTCTATGAATAGGGACCAACCATTTTGTAGACTGGTATGGGCTAGCTGGCCAGAGTTTGCAATGGGTTACCCAATGTTCTTTTACTAAGGTGGTTCAAACCAGAACAGCACAAAGAGATGCTTCTGGATTGGATGTCCTCGTTGTCGTGCCGCGTGCAGAAGCGGTACCACGTGCTAGACCTTTTCGGGGCTTCCAAGAGGGTCGCAGGAACATGGGAAAAGGCTGGGTGGAAGGGAATCGCCTACGATATCCAGTTGGATGGTAAACTCCATGACATCACTAGTGAACTTGGATGGAAAACCCTTGCGCGCATGGGGATTGAGTTCCTTGCCTTTCTTGCCGCAAAAGAATGCAAAAGAAGTTTATTTGAAACTATTTTGAATTGATTTTTCATTGCCTTGGGATGCGAACGTTTTAACCCAATCTTTCGGGTGACAGCCAGAGGGCGCATTGCTTCCCAGGTTGGTTGACAATGCTCTCATCCTAGCAACTCCTCCATGTTCCCTGCATAGCGCAGCGTGCCAGTCGGTGCACGGACGCACGGCTTTGCATCCAGAAGGAAACCAAGCAAATTTCAAAGTCAGATTGAGTCAGCGAATATGGCTCAACTATGCATCTCTCATATGCGCTCAATGTGTTTTTATTCAATGTTTTTTTATGTTTTTCACAAGTTTTCATGAATAATCATTATTTCGAATTTGTGTGCGCATGTTTGACCTCCCATCTACCATCTAGAAAATGGTTCTCCATTTTACTGGCTAGCTGATCACTCATGGGCGGCTGTTGTTTCATCAGGTGACATTTCTCGAATTGCTTTACCAGATTCGCGGTGAGCGTCTCTACCTCGCGGCCGAACAGCCGGCTTCCTCCTGGGGATTTAAGCAGGTGTTCTTCAAGGCGCTGGCACAGCAGCTGGGGCTGTGTCTTGTCTGAGCAGTTGGCTTGCTGGGACCTGTGTCATATACGTTTTCGATCTTTTTCCACTTTTTCCCATGTGTTCTCTGTTTTCTTCCAGAAGATGGCTGAAGCATCTAGAGTGGAGGGATAAAGGATTTCATAGAGCATGATTTGGAGATATACCATTTTATAGAGCATGATTTGAGAAATACATAGACATACCATTTTGTAGTAGTTTCATGTGGATATGACCTGTTGGGTCTAGTTTGGACATGTTTGGACATGTTTGACCCGTGGGTCAGTCCAGTTTTCTTTGCTTGCACACCTTTAGATCTAGATTCCTGAGGTTTTGCGTGCTAGTATGGATGGGGCACTATGGACACGATCTGCACAAACCAAGCCATTTGCAGGTTAACCTCAGGAGAAGAGGGTCCGGGAGGGCTGCAAGTCCCCACACGCACACATTATGTATCATTATGATTCATTACTTTTGAATTCATTATGATTCATTATGTAGTTTTGCTGAAATTTTAGCCCATGAACCCCATTCTATAGAGCGCATGTGCGCAGAGGGGTCATGCGAACTATTTTATCTCTATAGAATGGTAGCACTCGACCATCCCATCAAATTTCAAAGGTAATATTTTTCATATCCAGCGATTTTTTCTTGCCTTTGCCTTGGCAATGTTTGTGCAGGAGTCTATCCACGCTGTACCGGAAGATGTCCGAAAAGGACAGGCAAAGAATTGCCAATCGCTTTGCCAAGCGTCAAGCCAGGCGCAAAGTGAAGAAAGACGCTTTGTTCCGCGTTAGGGTTGTTGGGATTCTACTGGGCCTTGGGTTCATGCTGGGGCTTGACGCACTATATGAAGCCAAATGGCACGCCCTTTTGTAGATGTAGCATGATGATGCATGATGTAGCATTGCCAGTGCATGCAAATGCACGAAGATCATCGAAGATCATCGAAAATCATTGAAAGTCACCATATTTTTCCATACCTTTCCTAGAGAATGGATGAGAGGTATACATACCCTTCATTACCCTTCCACAAACTTTGCCATTTTGTAGTGGTTAACCAAGCCTCACCATTTTGTAGACATTCGATGACATTCGATGACACTTGTTTGACATTGGGCCGCCAGACCTCAGCGTGGGTTTGTCTCAGTTTTAAGGTCTACTATGTGAGACATGTACGTCCTGACGGAAGCAGTGGATGGAGTGGAGGCCGTGATTTGTCTTCTGCAGCAACTTTTACGCACCAATTCTGCAGAGCCTTGTTGGTGGCATGGGAGAAAGAGTATGAGTACACCTCTAAGAAACGGTTGCCATCTGAAGTAATTGAAATTCAATCCGATGATGAGAAGGCCGACTTGTCAATTCCAATTGAGATTGGCTCCAGTACAGGGTCCAATGAACAACTTCTGCCGGCATTTCAAAACTAGGAGGTTGGGCATCTCATACTGCCCCTGTTTGTGCCAAGCACTGGCAGCTATTTGTGGCTGTTGATTTCGGAGCTCGTTCATGCTCCATGTAGATCCATTGAGTTCGTTCGTTGTGGGCACGGGGAAAATATTGGACCGGCATGGACCGACATGGACCGGCCATGCAAATCCAGGATGTTCATGGATGCCTGGATGTTGCAGGATATTCCAGGATGTCTTTTATTTTTTTGTCCCGTTTTGTAGTGAGTGATGGCGTTGAGAGATGTCCAAGTTGTTTGTTGTAGGGCGAAGGGAAATTCTGGAACAGCATGGAACAGCACCGTATATTTTTCATGAAAAGATCTTGATTTGATTTTCATGAAAAGCAATGATGAGCCGCCATTGTTGCATACTTTTCCTTACACGGATGATGGATGATGATGGTGCAACAGCCGTTTTGGCTTGAGATCCTATCTACCGAAAATTTCTTGGGATTTGATTGCAAAATATTAAGGCGATCTAAAGGGTCCTTGGGTCATGCCGCGTGCGTTAGAGCGAGTGCCGCCACCTGGCCTTCCGCCAGAATGCGCTTTTGCGAACTGCTCCTCATTTGCACGACGGCGAAGCACCCCAGCCCCTACTAGTGTATACCACCTAGTTCCAAGGGAACTAGTGTACAATCAACATGCAATCAGGGTGTATCAGCACGTGTCAGCTGGTGTTCCACACAATGGAAAGAATATGAAAGAATCATGAAAAATCTAGACCCATCATGCGATGCTTCCATATGCTTCCTAAATTTCCAAAATTCCTTGCAGACAAGTTTGTCTCCCAGGTAGTGCCCGCTCGACTCCACCACAGATCCACAGCAGGTGTGGGGTTTGGTACAGTGCGTGCGATTCTTGGCTACGGGATGCTTTGGGCTCTGTGTCCTCTGAATTCCTTTTGGACTCCTTTGGGGTCGTGTGTTTGTTTCTAATTGTCCAGTACCAGCTACTACCTTGCAATTTTATGCAATTTTCCTCTTGGTTCAAAAAAAATCAAAAAACTATACATAGTCCACCCTATAAAATGGTATCCCTGAGGTGCTGTTGCCTACAAAATGGATCAAAATGGTAGCTGTATCATGCATTATCATGCTGTATCAATGTTCCATCAATTTCATTTATTTTCCATCATTTTCCCATTTTCTCTGTGGTTTCATCAGTCCTATGGATGTGATCGGGAATCCCTGTGGAAATAATATGAAATAATTCTTTGATGGGTCCACCCATGTCCACCCTATAAAATGGTTTCCCTGAGGTGCTGTTGCCCACAAAATAGTAGCTGTATGTAGCTGTATCCATTATCCCATTTTCTCATATTTTCTCTGTGGTTTCATCAGTTCTATGGATGTGATCGGGAATCCCTGTGGAAATAATTCTTTGATGGGTCCACCCATGTCCACCCTATAAAATGGTTTCCCTGAGGTGCTGTTACCCACAAAATAGTAGCTGTATCCATTATCCCATTTTCATCCATTTTCTCTGTGGTTTCATCAGTTCTATGGATATGATCGGGGATCCCTTTGGAAACAATTCTTTGATGGGTCCACCCATGTCCACCCTATAAAATGGTTTCCCTGAGGTGCTGTTGCCCACAAAATAGTAGCTGTATCCATTATCCCATTTTCTCTGTGGTTTCATCAGTTCTATGGATATGATTGGGGATCCCTTTGGGAACAATTCTTTGATGGGTCCACCCATGTCCCACCCTATAAAATGGTATCCCTGAGGTGATGCTGCCTACAAAAAGCATGTACATCTACAATACATTTTTTTTGATAATCAAATAATCATATAATATATTATAATATCATATATGTGCATGAATGCTACCTCACCTGCTTCAATTTGAGTTTAGCGTGTGACTGAGGACAAAGATGGCGTGACGTCTTCTGGATACAGACGTCCGTCCCACCATTGTTGGGTTCAGCGCCTGGGCAGGTGTTTGGATTTGAGTTCCGGTCGTACTGGGACCCCACAATTTCTCCTCACTAGCAATTTACTAGCACCCTGTGTTTCCCCATTGGATCCTCCCACGCAGAGTGCCAAACTTAAGCTTGTGCAACTGAGTGACGGCGCAACCTGGGTGAAATCCAACGCCATCAGCAAGACCATCAAGGAATGGAAGCTTGGCGGGTGGACAGCTGCCAGTCTGCAGAGAGCACAGTAGATATGCATAGATATGCATAGATATGCTGCCTGTTGATGCCGTTGATGCTGGTTGCCCATGGTTTCCGATGTCCATTTGATAAGCTTTAAATAGCTTTAAATAGCTTTAAAATGCTTTAAATATCTTGCAACGATATAGGGCTTCAGGAACCAGATGCAATCTGACGAGACTGGGAGGAGGTGAGAAAACTGAGAAAACCATAGAAAACCGTTTGTTGCTCTTGGTTTTGCTTCTTTGGCAAGGGTTTCTGTCTTCGGCCCGTGGCAACTGTTAGTCTTCAGCACTTGAATTCCATACGTACTTGAATGGGTCTTTCACGTTCTTTCCCCTTCTTTCTTTTCCAGATTCCATTCCTGTCCTGCTTAGTGTGGCGGTGCTGACAGACAACCGAGGCTCCTGACATTGACGCTCCGTTGCATGAGGCACTGGTCCCTGCAGAGGCTTGTGGGGGGCAACCATTTTTTAGAAGACAAATGACGCCAATCCATATTGTAAAGGGAAACCATTCTGTAGTATGATGTAGTATGCTTTAGTATGTCTACATACATTTGCTCCACCTTGTCATTTTGAAACTGTTGAATCATCTTGAACCATACCAAACATTATTAAACCATATTAAACCTATTTCAACATATTTCAACCATTTTTAATCTATTTAAACCTATGTCAACGCATGTCAATGCCACCTTTTGCTTAAGGCTTCCCCATTCTTTCTTTTCGAATCGCATTCCTAACCGAGGCTGCTGGGCCAGATGAAGTACATCCTGCTTCAGAGGCTTCTCATGATGTAGCTGGGACGCTTGCAGATGCTGAGGCCACTTGGGTTTCTTTTTTTGGGATTGGATGATCAGGACGTATCAGGACCAACCATTTTGTAGACACTCTGATTGGGATTGGAGGCTTCTGGCTACAGCAAGACCCACCATTTTGTAGATGTTGTGATTTACACGTCTGGGATGATCTGGGTGTAAAATGATCTGATCACATTTGAATACATTTGATCTATTTTTTGTAAACATATGGGGCCCGATTTTTCTGATTTCGGTGGTACCTTTCCCATCCTGCATTCCTGTCCCCTTGGCGTTCTCCACGCAGGCTGCTGAACGAGAAGAAGCGCGTCCTGCTCCAGGGGCTTCTATTGCTGGGGCACAGGCAGCAGCAGAGGCCAGAGGAGGTTTCTTTTTGGATCAGGGCCAATGTGGACCTACCATTTTGTAGAAGCTCTGCAGGGGAGCATACATGGATGAACAAGAATATTGAAGAATTGATATGAATTGATATGGATAGTTTTTTTCATTTTTGATATTTTCATCTGGGTCAAAATATGATTAGAACATATCCGACCTTACCATGTGGAACCCCCCTCTTTTGGATTTCGATGGTACCTTTCCCATCCTGTATTCCTGTCCTTTGGTGCTCTTGACCAGGATGCTGAGCAAGAAGAAGCGCGTCCTGCTCCTGGGGATTCTGAACTTGGAGCTGGGGCACAGCAGGCAGCCGCAGAGGCAAGAGGAGGTTTCTTGTTGGATCAGGGCCAACATGGGCCTACCATTTTGTAGAAGCTTTGCATGGGATCATACATGGATGAACAAAAACACTGAAGGATCATGAAGGATCTTCATGGATTTTCAAGATCATGTTTTCATGATGTTTTTTTTTTCTGAAGGTTTTGTTTGATCTGCTCATCTCATCTCGTTCTTGTGTGGTCTGCTCATATCTGATCTAACCATATCGAACCCATACGGAACCCTATAAAATGGTATCCCTGAGGTGCTGTTGCCTACAAAATGGATCAAAATGGTAGCTGTATCATGGTGTATCATGCTGTATCATGCTCTATCCATTTTCCCATTTTCCATGCGGTTTTATCAGTTCTATGGATGGAATCCCCTGGGAAATAATTCTTTGATGGGTCCACCTATGTCCACCCCTATAAAATGGTATCCCTGAGGTGCTGTTTCCTAAACAATGGATAAACATGGATCAAAATGGTGGCTGTATCATGCTGTATCCATCTTCCCATCTTTGGATTTCGGTGGTACTTTTCCATCCATTCCCCTCCTGTATTCCTGTCCTTTGGCTCTTTGGCGCTCTTGACCAGGGGGCTGAGCCAGAAGAAGCGCGTCCTGCTCCAGGGGCTTCTATTGCTGGGGCGCTGGCAGCCGCAGAGGCCAGAGGAGGTTTCTTCTTGGATCAGGGCCAATGTGGACCTACCATTTTGTAGAAGCTCTGCAGGGGAGCATACATGGATGAACAAGAATATTGAAGAATTGATATGAATTGATATGGATAGTTTTTTTCATTTTTGATATTTTCATCTGGGTCAAAATATGATTAGAACATATCCGACCTTACCATGTGGAACCCCCCTCTTTTGGATTTCGATGGTACCTTTCCCATCCTGTATTCCTGTCCTTTGGTGCTCTTGACCAGGATGCTGAGCAAGAAGAAGCGCGTCCTGCTCCTGGGGATTCTGAAGTTGGAGCTGGGGCACAGCAGGCAGCCGCAGAGGCAAGAGGAGGTTTCTTGTTGGATCAGGGCCAACATGGGCCTACCATTTTGTAGAAGCTTTGCATGGGATCATACATGGATGAACAAAAACACTGAAGGATCATGAAGGATCTTCATGGATTTTCAAGATCATGTTTTCATGATGTTTTTTCTGAAGGTTTTGTTTGATCTGCTCATCTCATCTCGTTCTTGTGTGGTCTGCTCATATCTGATCTAACCATATCGAACCCATACGGAACCCCATGCTGTTGCTTTGGATTTCGGTGCTACCTTTCCCCCATCCTGTATTCCTGTAATTCCTTGTGGTACTTGCTCTGGACGCAGGGGCTGCTGAGCCAGAAGAAGAAGAAGCGCGTCCTGCTCCAGGGGCTTCTATTGCTGGGGCGCTGGCAGCCGCAGAGGCCAGAGGAGGTTTCTTCTTGGATGAGGGCCAACATGGGCTTACCATTTTGTAGAAGCTCTGCATGAGATCCGACATGGATCAACAGGAACATTGAAGAATTGATATGAATTGATATGAATATATAGATATATATAGATCATGTTTATTCATTTTTGATATTTTAATCTGGGTCAAAATATGATTGGATTTATATGACCTTACCATGTGGAACCCCCCTCGTTTGGATTTCGGTGGTACCTTTCCCATCCTGTATTCCTGTATTCCTGTCCTTTGGCTGTGCGCACAGCACCTGCAGAGTTCACCAAATACTCACCAAATATGCCAGCTGCTGGCCCAAAGACGAGCTTGACGCACCTTCAAATTTGCATTGTGTCCAGCTCTTTTGGCCACTGCCTGTCATGGTTGATGAGCTGTCTGTGCTTTTGATAGCCGCATTCGTGGCTGGCCTTCTGCTCGGCAGCCTCTTTACCATGCTTTTCTCACATACCACACCAAAGCTCCCATCACCCGAGAAGAACCACTGCCCATCTGAAGTTTGGATCAGCCGAGCCGGGGAGCAATACCATCTACATGGGGATTGCCCATCTTTACGTGTGGATGGCAAACAGCGCCGAGGCGTTGTAGAGTTCAAAGTATGTTGCCATTGCCTGAAAAACCTGGAGAAGAAGACAAAATGAAACGCCTCGGCTAGAGATGGCTAGAGATCAAAGGAGATCTTTATTCTTGTTCACAAGTGAGGGATGGTAGCCTGCAGGCCTTTCCCTAATCCCTGGCATCATGGCAAGTAGCTTTGTAATACATATTCACAGCCTCCGGTGAGCCGTTCCCGGATTGCAGCGAAAAAAGGCAATCGGGGAATTGACGTGGTTCTCAATGCTTCCTCTAAACAGATTTGCTTCTAATTGAAAGTAACCTGAAATCACCAGTTTGGGGCAATTACACGGGTAAAATTAGTGGTTTCTCTAATTGCTCCTATTTGAATTGGATCTGGTATAGAAGTGTTTTTTCCCATATGTATGCTAGTGATTGCTAGTGCAGATGCTGAGGCCATTGTTTTTTTTGGGATTGGATGATCAGGACGTATCAGGACCAACCATTTTGTAGACACTCTGATTGGGATTGGAGGCTTCTGGCTACGGCAAGACCCACCATTTTGTAGATGTTGTGATTTACACGTCTGGGATGATCTGGGTGTAAAATGATCTGATCACATTTGAATACATTTGATCTATTTTTTGTAAACATATGGGGCCCGATTTTTCTGATTTCGGTGGTACCTTTCCCATCCTGCATTCCTGTCCCCTTGGCGTTCTCCACGCAGGCTGCTGAACGAGAAGAAGCGCGTCCTGCTCCAGGGGCTTCTATTGCTGGGGCACAGGCAGCAGCAGAGGCCAGAGGAGGTTTCTTTTTGGATCAGGGCCAATGTGGACCTACCATTTTGTAGAAGCTCTGCAGGGGAGCATACATGGATGAACAAGAATATTGAAGAATTGATATGAATTGATATGGATAGTTTTTTTCATTTTTGATATTTTCATCTGGGTCAAAATATGATTAGAACATATCCGACCTTACCATGTGGAACCCCCCTCTTTTGGATTTCGATGGTACCTTTCCCATCCTGTATTCCTGTCCTTTGGTGCTCTTGACCAGGATGCTGAGCAAGAAGAAGCGCGTCCTGCTCCTGGGGATTCTGAACTTGGAGCTGGGGCACAGCAGGCAGCCGCAGAGGCAAGAGGAGGTTTCTTGTTGGATCAGGGCCAACATGGGCCTACCATTTTGTAGAAGCTTTGCATGGGATCATACATGGATGAACAAAAACACTGAAGGATCATGAAGGATCTTCATGGATTTTCAAGATCATGTTTTCATGATGTTTTTTTCTGAAGGTTTTGTTTGATCTGCTCATCTCATCTCGTTCTTGTGTGGTCTGCTCATATCTGATCTAACCATATCGAACCCATACGGAACCCCATTCTTTGGATTTCGGTGCTACCTTTCCCATCCTGTATTCCTGTCCTTTGACTTTCTGGACGCAGGGGGCTGAACGAGAAGAAGTACCTGCTGCTGCAGGGAGACCCGCTGAAGGATCTGGGGAACTTTCAGAGGCTAGTGGGGACCCATGTTGTAAGAGTTTTCATGTTATCAACCTTTATGTAAAGATCAGCTGAGGCCGCTACTTGTGGAATTGTATGCATGTATATATGTAAAGATATACTTTCAGATTTGGTGAGGTTTGGCATTTTTTTGATCGGGGGTACCTAGGGATGAAATAGCTCGAGAGAACTTGAGGGGACTAGTCTGGGAGCTCACTTGATGCAAGGCCTCTACAGCACCTTTGCCGACAGCGCGGCGACAAGAGTCCCCACCTCCTCTTCCTCCGCCAGCTGTGGCGCCAACGAAACGATCGCAGCCGGAATGTATTGTCAAACAAGAAGCAGCAAGAGAATCGAAATGTTCCGTTGCACCAGCAACCGCCCAGCCCTTGAAGAGAGTGAAGGTAGAACCAGAACCACAGACTGGCAAAAGCCCTCCACATCCAAGTGCCCCACTTTCTCAGACTTTCAAGAAAGAACTTTCTGAGATTTCCAAGCGTCACATGCCAGTGCCCGTCAAGGCGGGCTCTAGCAGGGTGTGCTGGGATGTGTTTGATTGTTTGTGGTTGTCTTTGGGTGTTTGTAGAAGGTGTTCCACGTTGTTCATGTTTGAAAGCGTCTTGAGCATTATCTGGTTTGTTTTACCTTTTTTTATCCTCAGGGTCATTGGAGGAATCCTTCCCCAGCCCCAGCAAGCAGTTCAAATATGTCAACCTCACCCCTTTGCTGCGGCCCATCTGCATCCCGAAGCCCTGCTCCAGGATGAGAAACCAGAGGTTCCTGCGAAGAAATCAAAGTCCACCTGTGCAGGCGAACTGTTTTGGTTTCTTTTGGCAAGCTGTGGGTTTGATTAGAAGCTTCTGTTTGCAAAATGTGGGAAGGTTTTTACATGTTTTTACTACTAAACGATACTAAACGTATGTAAATGATTGTAAATGATTGTAAATGATTCTAAATGTAATATGTCATTTTTGAGGTTAAAGTTATCCAAGACAATTGACAGGCACTACCATTTTGTAGACCATGACAGTCTGGCCTTACCATTTTGTAGGTTGGAAGACCGGTTCCAGAATCATCTTGCAGACAAAACCTTGTTTCTCTACCAAATGGCCCGCGTTAATCTACCCACCATGTAATTCACAGAAGGATGTATATGGAAAAATTATGACAAATTATGGATGTATATCTTCTGTTTGCAGAATGTGGGAAGATTTTACCTACTGAATGTATCTAAATGATTCTAAATGTATGTAAGTGATTCTAAATGTAATATGTCATGTTTATTCATTTTTGAGGTTAAAGTTATCCAAGACAATTGACAAGCACTACCATTTTGTAGACCATGACAGTCTGGCCTTACCATTTTGTAGGTTGGAAGACCGGTCCCAGAATCATCTTGCAGACAAAACCTTGTTTCTCTACCAAATGGCCCGCGTTAATCTACCCACCATGTAATTCACAGAAGGATGTATATGCATGTATATGGATGATTTTGGATGTATATGGTCATTAGCAATCATGATCATTAGCTCATATTAGCTCTGGTTGGGTTTCAGTGAAGCTACCATTTTGTAGCGAACCCTGACCCTTCTTGGACTCCCTCAGGCGAACCGAAGACACCGGAGAAGTTGGCCAAGGAGAAGCCGTGTCAGCGACCTTGGCGGGAACTCGACCAGCACATGATCCGGGGCGACTTTCTGTTGAACGAAGCAACGTTTGCAGAACCGCCATTGGAAGCTCCTGTAACTCCACCCCCCAAGAGTCGTCGGACTCCAGGCTTGGCTTGGAGGTTTACCAGGGGCTACCAAGGTCTAGGGATGCCTAGTAGCCTAGGGTCTGTATTCATCCAGATTCCGGATTGCTAAGATGCTAACTACCAACCTGCACACACACATGAGCAGTCATACCTTTTAATTCCTTGTCAATCCTTGTCAATTGTTTTCCATGCTTTTCCATGCTTTTCCCTTTTCCATCCTTCTCATTCCTTTTCCATCCTTTTCCATCCTTTTCCATCCTTTTCCATCCTTTTCCATCCTTTTCCATCCTTTTCCTTGTCGTTTTCAATTCTTTTCCATCTGTTTCCGTCTTTTTCCATACTTTTCCCCCACATCATCTTGGAGGTGCGCAGTGTGCCTCTTCAGCAGCATCGCAGCCTTCTGCTGCATTGGCCGAGTCTTCTTCGAAGCAGGTGCAGTCTGATGTCGCAGAACGGCAGCTACGGCAACGTACTATGGAACCTCGGCTTTCTTGTACCGTGTGTCAGAAGTATTGGGGGGAACAGGAGGGAAGCGGCGCACGGTGGGTCCCTCTTCCACAGGTCAATGAAGGTCATCCATGGTCATCGAAGGTCTTTATGTCACCCATGTCACCCAAATCTATCCATTTTGTAGTGGAGAATTTGGTGGTAACAATTTAAAGACATCTAAAGACAACATGAGACAACCATAGATCACCACTCATGTCATCTCATGTCTATCCATTTTGTAGTGGAGATTTGGGTGTTGAAGCTAAGGCTAATGGCTAAGACACGCTGACACCATGTAGAGACAACCACCCATGGTTTTCTGGTTTACCATCCTATACCATCCTATACCATCCTATACCAATCCATTTTGTAGTGATTTCGGTGCAAGTAGGACAAAACACCATGTAGAATCGCCATGAAGGAGCTCTATGCTGAATACATCGGGAAACCTGGCGTCTACCTGGGGCTCCTGGATATAGCTCTTCTTGCATTTCACTCGAAATCAGACGTGGCTATCCTTTACTATGGTTCCGAGAACCAGAACCCCCGTAGGTTGGTGGATCTCCTGAGTGCATTCCTGGAACAAAGTGACTGTGACAACGTTGATCTTGCCTCTGTCTTCCCGATGCCGGACAGTGCACTACATGGGGACCGTTGGTACATGATTGCATGCAGGGCAGACTGGCGACATGCTACACAAGTGAACGAATGCAACCATTGGGTCCCTGCCTTCCACAAGGATGACATGAATGAGGCCAAGTGGAACCTGCACAAAGCTACTTTAGAAGCCCAGCTAGCTGCGGAAATCGAACGTACAGCCAAAGAATTGGCCAAGCTTGCTCAAAGTTCTGAACAACTAGAAGAAGACGAAGGTGTGGCCGAGTCACTCTCCGCTCAGTGGGTCAGCTTGGAGCAGAAACAAGCTTTCCTGAATGCCATGCACAGCAGGGACCTTAGCCCAGATTTTGTCCCAGCAGACGGAAACTGTGGAATTTGGTCATTTCTCGCCCTCAATGCGAGAGAACCGGGCACTACACTTTCCAAATCTGAAATGAAGGAGGTGCGAAAGGAGTCTTGGCATCCATTTTGTAGGGAAGGGTGGGACAGCGATTGCCCATTTTTGTCATTATCTACCAACTGGGCACCCATGATTACCATTGACTACCATTGATTACCATTGATTACCATTGATTACCCATAATTACCCCGTAATGTCACTTACATTTGTTTACTTTTTACATCCATTTTCTGTACATGCCTATGCATGGATCTGACATCACCATATTTTCCCATGTTTTACCATTTTATAGTCACACCAATCGTGCTCAGGGCCCAGCAGTGATCCCAATGATATTACGTGATATTACATGATATTACGATATATTATGTCTGGTCATACCTGATCATCAATATTTTTTCGCCTACATACCCTGCAATACCCTAAATCCATCTAAATCATTCTAAATCCATCTAAATCTTTCATCATCCTTCATCATCCTTCTACATCCCTATGCCAGGGCCTTCCCTTGGCTGCTTGCCCAGGAGTTGACCAACCTGTGGAAGAAAAGCGCGAAAGAGCCCGTGTGGCAAAAACTCTTCTTTGCCTTCGGCTTGGACCGAGAAGTTCCTGTGCAGGTCAATGCCAAGCAAAGCCGTGATCCCAGAACCCCAAGGACCTCTCGCCGGGGACCCCGCATACCTGATGCAGACAAGCCCACGCCGCCGGGCAAACCGACGAGTACAAAAGCTGTGGGAGCTTGCCGGCCAGCGGCTTTTGGCCAACCCAAAGCTCCAGAGCCAATTTTGGTGCCTTACATTCCCAACATTCCCAAGAAGCGCAAGGCTGCGCCACTACTGGAGGGTGAAGATCCCGACCAGCAGGAGGATGACGATGACTCTGAAGCTGAGGACGGGACAGGTTTGGGATGTTTGCAGGTTGCTGATGCAGAAAGGACACATAATATGAAAAATAACAAGCTTGAAATGCAGAACCTTCATCAATCTTCATGAATCTTCATGAATCTTCATGAATCTTCTACAAAATGGTAGGTGGACGTAGGTGCTGTCCCAGCTCTATGCCCAACCATTTTGTAGTGCTTCCATGCTGCCTTGCAGGATTTGGCACCGGTTCGCATCACACGTGCGAAACATGGACGAGTAGGGAGGAAAAAGGTGGTGGATAGCAGGCAGCAACATCTGAAGAGGACCAGGACCTACTTGAGCGGCATCGGCATAACTTGGCCTGCCTTTCAGAAGATTCATGCGAGGCTGGGTTTTCACATCAACACATTATGGATATTTATAGATCATATATGATCATATTATAAGAGTCAATTTACATCAGCACACGCCCATTTAACATATACCATTATAACCCATGGTGATCCATGATGACCCGCGCACCAGTATGATTTAATGTGATCCCATCAGGGAGCGCGGGTTTCACATGGCCAAACCATTTTGTAGTGTTTGTATGTGTTTGTATGTTTTTGTATGCGCAATAAAATGCAATGAAGGTCCAATATATCCCAATATGATCTCATAGGAGCCCATTTGGGACAGCAGGACCAACCATTTTGTAGTAATTATATGTAGTTGTGCTTGGTTAAATGTAATCAAATATGTCTTTTTTCATATTTTTTCGCTTTTTTTTTCTATTTCCACCTGTTTTTTACCAGTCGCTCAAAGCCCTGGCTTCTCATTTTCCCTTCAGGATGGCGCCTTTGAAGAAGGCGGGCATTTGCACAGAAGATGGGTTTGTCTCTCTACAGCAGAAGCTACTAGACCGCAAGGAGATCAAATGCCCACCGTGCTTGCAGCTGCTCCAGAACTATGGGTACAAGTGCTCTGATCATTTTCAAGAACTAAAGCTTGAAGTTCCTGCCGATGAACCTCAAGAACGCGGTCAAGACCCCGAGCCTGACAAAGCCCCGGGGGATGATGAGAAGCCAAGTAAGGAGACCTATGAGGAGAAGAGAGAGAGGCGGAGACGTGAGTTCAACAATGACCCATGGGCATTGGTTCGAAGCGAGGCACCTACGATCACCCTTTTGCCGCCTGGCTCCTTTCGGAGGGCTTACCCGTTCCGATGCAGTGCGTGCAAAACCAGACGATCACCTGATGGGAAGGTCGGAGACCTATGCCAAGCTACCTTCAATGCTGTGCATTGGTTCTTGTACCAGCACTTGGATTGCGACGCGCACAAAAAGAAGGTCGCCAGTCTGGCCGGAAAGTTGGGCGCTCGCGCAAAGCCCTTGGAGGTTGTGGATTGCTCTGGGCTTTGCATCTCTGATGTGATGGTGGGGGGGAAGGTGTACAATTTCAAGGAGGAGTTCAACCTTTGGCTGTCCATGAGCAAACCAAACGCACAGCTCGGCACAGATCATCACAAGTACTGGTTTGACAAAGGCTTGGACAGCTGGTTTGCGAGATCCAAGAGTTGCAAGCTGAGATGTGAGAAGTTGCCCGAACAGGACAGCGCAATCTGCACTGAATGTGAGAAGCTTGGTTCAGCCAAGTCCATTGTCAGACATGCTCAGCGCTTTTCCTACAAGTACTACCTTGCCCATCTCTTGACCACACGCATTTTCCATGAGGAGCAGGATGTAGAGGCCGCGTTGTCCAAGTTGAAGGGCTCAGCGCTGTACCGCACAGCATGGAAGAGCAAGTTGGACATTGCGATAGACCTGGATCTTCCCTCATTGCAGCAGATTGTGCGGGCATCCTTCCTTTCGACCAACGACCATGCCAGGAGCCAGCTTAAAACCTGATTGATGATGATTGATGATGATTGATGATGATTGATGGTGATTGATGTTTCGGGATGTTTGGGATTCTTCGGAGGCAATTGCAAGCTTGAAATGCTGAATCTTCATGAACCTTCGTGAATCTTCATGAATCTTCTACAAAATGGTAGTTGCATATAGTTGCATGCAGGTGCTGTAGATATCACTTTTTTCAGTGTAGGGATGTGTAGGGTACCTGATTGATCCTGCATTTTAAGAACACCTAGAGGCTTTGTCCTTACCATTTTGTAGATTGGAGAACTGGTTCCAGGACATACATTATCCATCATTATCCATTATTATCCATTGATACCATTTGATACCCATTCATACCCATTCTGTAAAGACGTCGTGGATGATTTTGAGGGAGGGTGAAGTCCAACCATTTTGTAGGAGCTCTCTGTTGATCGCTTTCATTGCGACTACCGTGATCCCTGCTTGCCGCATCAATGTTGCAACTGTTCCTGCGCGCATGGCTTCCTTGTGCGCCAAGTTTGCGGCGTTGATTTCTGCAAAGCATGTGGATGACCAACAGATGGCGCAACTGAAGGTTGCAAGCGCGGCGCTGCATGGAACCTTCGATTCCCATCCTCTGATATTGGGGCTTTCGCTCCAATGCAAGAGAATGTGTGACAAAATCAAGCGTGGAGTGGAGAGTATGGTTGGCAGGAGAAGCCAGGAGAGCTCCCATGAATGCCAGCTGATAAGTGATGCGGGGATTCAACTTGCAGCTGCCTCTGGCAATTCACATCTTGCCCGTGAATTTGGGCTTTCAGCGGCGGCCCTCAGGACAAAGCTGGATGATTTGAAGCTCTACAACCTTCCGGTGCCATGCCTTTCAGTCTTGTGGCCGGAGGAGCTTCGCCAAAACTTCGTGCTTGCCAACACGCGGTTTCCAATGTTTCAGGGTCAGACCAAGCGATGCTTGCATGCAATTTTGCAATATGTGCAATAATTATCAATAATTTTGAATCATGTTGAATCATGTTTATTCATTTTCATTCATTTCTCATCATTTCTCAACCATTTTGATGAAATATCATGATTTTTGACAATGAATGATGGTACATGATGGTACTGTATAATGACATATGATGATACAATATGATACGTGGGGCGAAAGGATGATAAAGGGCGATCCTCCTGGGAACCCCTGGGATACCATTTTGTAGAAGAGCCATGCAGGGCTACTATTGGAGCAACCAATTTGTAGAGATACCTATTTGCAGAGTTTTCTTGCCTCACAATGCCTCATAAGTCTTCAGCTGAGGACGCTTCTTTCTAGCGTTTGACGCTACGTACTTGAGCCCATCACTTGCGCAGCTGAAGGTCCACGAGAAGATTGGCATGGTGGGGGGGTCCTACTTGGTGCAAAGCCCAGACCATGCGTTCATTCCAATGGACGAAAAAATGGATTTGAGAAAGGTGCAGAAGTCGACTCAGATGCTCGAAATGCTGTTGTGGGACCCTTGCGGGCGCAGCAAATGCCCATTGTCCATGTGCTCGCTGCCCGCAGAACATGCATTTGACAAGGCATCAGAGCAAGGTTCGCTCTACATACTGCACAGCGTTGGCCGGGTTTTGGCTCAGGCTGACAACTGCGTGAAGGCTTTGACTTTCGACAACCATGGGAGTCACTTGCTGCTGCGGAGCATCCTGTTTGGAGAATGCAGAGACCGACTGCGCGATGACTTGGCTGATGTCCCTTTTTTCTCATCCTTGCGGTTCCGGTCGTTGCCGGCCAACAGTTTACCTCGGGTTCCTGCGCAGATAGCAATGCATGGCGAGGACAATGAAGTGTTTTGGTGCATCCCAGGCGCGTGTGCCTTGACTTGTTTTAGATCACATCAGTGCAATTCATTTGCATTGCAATTTTTAGTCAATACTGAAGACTGATCACCGATTACATTATTTTAAGTTACTATGTTTTTACTTAGATGGAGAAAAGTGGAGAACCATTTTGTAGGCCCCCCTGCACTTGCCTTACTGTGACCAACCATTTTGTAGACCCTCAATGACCCTCATGTCGTTGGGGTCCACTAGCAACTTGAGGCCACGCGAACAAGAACAGCGGAGGTCAGCTGACCTCTTCCCTCCGCACCATTTTTTACGGAGATCTGTTCGCCGACATGACAGCCAGTCGGGAACATGGATTGCCACCTGCGGTTCTGGGGCGAGAAAATGCAATGTCAGATCGCATGCAGTCGCTCCTCTCCAATCCCTTCTTTTTGGTCAGAGATGTGGCCCCTCGATTTGTTATTGATGTTTAATATAATTTTCAATCCCTTGGCACAACAATATACAACATTATCAATCATTATCATACATTATCAAACACGCCCAAGCAATCCCAAGCATTTCCCAAACATCTTTATTTCAGGTTTGCTGGATTGCTAGAATTTCAAGGAATTTCATGGAATGTCTCCTTCGGTTGCCCACCCATTCAGGATTGCGACCTGAGCAAGATGCGGGTTCCTTGGGCCCTCCAGGGTGCCATGTGCCACAATTTGGTGGTAGCACTTTGCATAGCGCCCTTGCTACACGGGGATCTCTCTTTGGCAGAACGCTGCCAAGTGGCAGTGTCCGGCTTCTGCACATTGGACCTCATGCAGCTCCTGGCCAGCAGCAAGGCATCGTCCATGAACATGCCCGTTGGTGCCTGTTTTATGGCAAAACAGACAATTTCGAACCTACAGGCATGTGCCCTGTCATCCATGGTGATGACGTGCACGAAGCCAGAGGACTGTTCCTGCTGGTTGGGAATTCATGGGAAGTCGTTGAATCTCTTTAAAAAATGGTAAAGGACTTTGGTTCGTTGACTATCTACCCACCATTTTGTAGACAAAAGGGGTTCAAGGTATATTGATGTATATGGATGTATACGGTTTATTAATGCTTATTATTGGTTTATTGTTTGTTCAAATCTCATAGTGATATCATGTGAATTCAGAATTCATGTATCAGACTGAATCAGCATGAGGCAGTAATGGCTGCTCATGGTCCTTTACGGTCCTGGACCCCAGCTACCCATAATTTTTCCTGAGTCAGGGTTTGTTAAGCCTCTCCATTTTGTAGGAAGCAGATACTCAGGGCTACCATTTTGTAGGCTGATCATGGCTGATCATCAGGCTTCCCTTTTCATCCCTTTTCAATCCTTTTCAATATTAGTTTCCAGGAGCATGGAAAGGATTTTTGAAGGGGTATTTTTGAAGGCTGTGTTTGCCTGGCAGGATTGGAATGGATGGTCCCGGGGATTTGCACGCTGCTCGGAACTGACCATAGAGCAGTGGTTCGGTCAGCTTCGCGTACAGATGGCCAGCGCGCAGTTTACTGCGCGGCAGTACTGGCAAGCAGCGGCGCGCCGGCTGCTGAGAACCGGAAAGGAGCTGAACCGCCTCAAGCCTCCTACGCGGGACCTGCAGAAGCCGCTCACTGATGTTCAGTGCCTCGTTTCTGATGGGCCTTCTGTGTCCTTTGGACTCTTTGTCATGCTTTGTCACGATTGCCAATTTCCCGAGGAATCTTAGGGATCTTAATTGCAATCTTCCGCCTGAATCAACTTCCAGAGAGTTGTTCCATTCCTGAGGTTCCATCAATGCTGCCAGCTTGGGTACGATGCCGCACTGCAGTTCGCTTCATATGTTTCCAGGAAGCATGTTGCAGTCTTGGACGGCATGTACCGACAGGCTGTGACAGATGGTATCTTTGAAGCAGGTGGCAATTTCGCGGTCTCATTTGACGAACTAGATGATGATGAGATTGAAGATGAAGCCGATCTTCTCAAGCCAGATGAGCAGACTGGTGAGGATGAGTCTGCTGCCTTCAAACTCATTCAGCAGGTGCGACAGGAGACGGCTGCAATGGACCCAGAGAATGAAGAGGATGAAAGCAAGGACCAAACTGGTGATGATGTTGACGCAGATCTCCTCGGGGTGCCTGATGCACAGCAGATGCGCTCATTGATCGAAGCCCCTGCGGACCCGAAGGAGCCTTTCTGCACAGAGCAGGCAAGAAGCCCACGCCAAGGGGATGACGCAAACTTCCTGCCCAGCACTTTGACTGAGGCCATGTCCTTGAGAGGAGACATGATGAACCGTCTTTTTCGCCTCTCGGTGCGGCTGCGATGTGGAGCAGGGGGTGCTGACTCTGGCTTCCTCAAAAATCCTCGCAACTGCCGGCGCCAGTCGAAGCACCTGAACTGGCATCAGTGCCACGGCGCGCTGGGGTTGGTGCTTTATGGGTTTTGGATGGGTTTGGATGGTTTTGGATCTCCATTATTTTTTTCTTGCCATTTCCTCCACAGAATGGGAGGGGTTGGGGTGCCTATAGGGCACCATTCTGTGGAAAGTAGGGGCTGGAAATGGGGTCGAGCATGCAATTTGTGGGTTTTACATGGTTTTACATGGTTTTACCATGTTTTACCTGGTTTTATTATTTTTGTTTTGAAGGCATGATCATTTATGGGCACCAAGACAAACCATTTTGTAATCAAAAAGCCTGGTTTGATCATTTTTTGACAAAATTATCAATATATTTGTGGATCAAAGCAGGTGACAGGCACTACCATTTTGTAGAGCCATGGGTTATAGACAGACCATTTTGTAGGATGGGCACCCCACTTCCACCCAGCGAATGGGAAGGAGGATGGTTTTGGACGCTTTTGTATGGTTTGGGCATTTCTATGCATTTCTATGCATTTCTATGCATTTCTTGTTTTGGTTCCATCTAATGTGGGCGTCCTCATTTCAACAAATAAGTATATAAAACACATTCTTGAGAGATGATCCTAACCATTTTGTAGCGCCCAAACATGTCCAGGCAGTTGGATCGCAGCCTAGCACAGATGCGTACTGAAAAGGATGACCCAGAATACAGGAGTCGAACTTCAAGGATCCAGAAATGGATTGAATGTGTCAAGATTGCCCAGGAGGCCTTGAAAGTTCCTGTGGCGCCTCCAGAGCGGATTATGCTGCTCGCTTGTTGATTCTGAATTATGGTTTAATGGGAGTTCTAATTATTTAGCATGATTTATCATGATTTATCCTGATTTATCTGGGGTGTCTTCTGATTAATTTTGGTATATTAATGATTAATTATTTTGGACTACCATTTTATAGTTGGGAATACCTTGGGCTACCATTTTGTAGAAGTTATATAAGATGGATCAACATGGATCAACATGATAATGCATACGTTCATTTGTTTTGGATGTGTTTGGAGCCACAAGGATTCACAAGGTACTTAAACAATCTTAAACATACTTAAACAGTGATGCAATGTAGTAATGCAACCATGAAATGCCAGTAGCATCCACTTGCTGCCTGGCTGTCCTTTCTAAGGCCAGGGCTGGCGGTCCTTTTCACTGTGCCCGGGAACGGCCAGGGAAATCGTATCGAGGTTGGCTTCATTACTTCCGTATGGAAGGGAATCAGCAAACCAAGGCAGACCGGCAGCGAGGTGCCAATCGCAAGCTGCTTTGCGTTCAGGGCTTTGTCTTTGGACTTGAATCCTGACAAGGACTGAATATCCATGAATATCATGGAATCATGGAGCATTTTCCAGGGGCATGGTTAGGCTACCCCCTTAGGTCTATGTAATACTATGTATTACAATGTATTAGTTACTATGTCGATCGTCGATAGATAGATATATATATATATACATGCATGGTAGCGTCATGCAATGTACATATCTCCCAAGTACCCATGCCAGGAACCACCTGTGGAGTGGCATTGCCATTCCCGCTCATTGGCATGGGTGAGAAGGATGGAATCCCTGGTCACAATCTTGGATGTGGAACGCAGCTCCTTGAATGAGAGATGTCCGTGCTGCACACTCAGTACATCTCAGAACATTTTTAATCAAATGCCATTTTTGATCCATCTTGATCCATTTTGTAGATGGTGTTGCGTTTCATGTGTTTTCCAGGATTCAGATCATTGACAGAAGCTCAATAAAAGCAGATTCTTGCGGGATCTCTACAGAATGGTAGGGGCAATGGTCCTAGTCACTACCAGCTACCTGTTGCAGTGTTTTCCAGGATTCAGATCATTGACAGAAGCTCAATAAAGCAGATTCTTGCGGGATCTCTACAGAATGGTAGGGGCAATGGTCCTAGTCACTACCAGCTACCTGTTGCAGAATACATCAGAATACAGTAGAATAGAATAGAATAGAGGGAGGTACATTCCTTTTCTCCTGAGGTTGGAATTATTTTGATGCAGGTGGTTCTTAGATAGTGGTAGAAGACCAGGCGCTACCATTTTGTTAGTTCAATGCTTATCAATCAGCAAACTCCAAGTCCTGCCCAGGCTTTGAAACCGAGAAGGGCGAGTTTCACATCATTCTGTCGGAGGAGTCAGCGGCCGCGCTGGCACGCGTGGAAGAGATCTCAGACAAACTTTGGGATGTTGCTCCCACTATGAGCAAACGAGGCCGCATGGGACAGACGGATGGCTTGGGCCCTCACCAGAATGCTTCTGGAAATGCAAAGCGGAATCGGAATCAGCGCGAGAGAAGACGCAAGCTGAGGGTGGCGAAACAGGACCGGAAGATACTCAAAGCAGGTCATGCCAGCGGCCAAGAGCAGCAATTCACAGAGGATTGCTGCCGCCGCAGTGAGGCCGGCAGGGCTGCAATCATAAAGTATGTCAAGGAGCTCTACAACTTGGATTGCAGTGCCTTTCCGATGTCGCCTTGCTTCGATGCCGACCACAAGTGCAGACTCAAACATGATTATGCCAAGCAGCTGACATGGACGGCTATGTGCAGTGCTGTACCCCAAACTTTGGAATGCACGCGCCTTGCCAAACAAAATTCCCCCCAAAAATAAAGACATATAAAAACTATCAAAGACTATCAAACCTAATCATCCTTTTCAATCCTGTTCCATACTCTTCCGTTCTTTTCTTGAATGATTTATTCTGTTGTTGAGTCTGTATAAGAGGGGGCCCACCATTTTGTAGACAAATGATGACAAATGTAGACAAAAGGGCCACCATTTTGTAGACAAATGCATGGTCTTCACCATTTTGTAGATCAGATGATTGGGATACATTGGTGCGTCCGAACACGCAGCTTGATGCATATTTATGCAGTCATCTTGCATTGTGATTCATTTTGGCGATTACATGTTGTTTTGCCTCAGGTACCATTTGGTGAAAAGTCCCCAGATGTACGGAAGGGTTGTGTTCAAGCACTTGAACATCATCGAGATGCAGCTGCGGAAGAGGCCAGCCAAGCGCTCTGGTTGGCTGCGTTTGTTGAGGGACATTGCGGACTACATGGCCGCAACTAATGGTGATGCAGAAGTTCCAGAGGGGAGCTGATCATCCTGGCAGCTTGAGCCATTTGGTTGATGCACAGTACAAAGAAGAGAATAGGAGAGAATTGGTGAATCCCGTGAGAAGGAAATGTAGATATGGAGGTTTTGTGCTGCCAAGAGCTTGTGAACACAACACAGCCGGATTTTCCTGCAGCAATTCTTGGCAATTTCTGCAATTCTGACATATCCTGATACTGAAACCAGTAATTGGGTTCTTCGGGCAGCAGCTGGGTCCGATAAATTGAGGCACGCACTACTTTGATTTACTCTGATCATCATTGATCCTTATTTGTTATTGAATTACTACCAGTTTCCTCAATGGTGCTTCAGGAGAAGCACAGTCATCGTTAAGTAACGTCAAGCATGGCTAGGTCACACAGGGACCCAGGGGCTGTTGCTCGCTACTAATTCGATGCGCGGCCGGCACTCACTGCCGAAATGCAGCAGTGTGCAGATACGCTTTCATGTAGCCATGCTTTAACCAGCATGGAACAGTGCACTGGTCTGCGCGGCCCCGAGTGACATAGAGGAGAAGCTGAAACTAGCTGAGATGTGGATCGATGTGGATTGAGGTTTCATCCAAGGGTGCCCATCCAGCAGAGGGAAAAAAGGCCGTCATGCTCCACAGAGAATCAGTGCTGAATGAAGCAGGAAATCTATGGAAGCCTAAGTATGTCTCCCACCTGCCCATCCACTTCAAGTATTTTGGATTAACATAAATTAACATAATGTCCAAAAAAAAATGTGAAAAATGGGAAAATTTGATGTTTTTTTTCTATGACCTTCAAGGGCCCTCCAGAACCATCCAGAACAAACAATCTGTCTACAAAATGGAAGGGCACCATCACATCCACAAGCATGTTCATGATACTCTGGCACTACCATTTTGTAGCTGGTTCATGCTGGTTCAAGACATATTTTGTAAGAATCTCGGGTGCCAAGCTACATGAGTTTGTTGGAGGGGATTGTGGTGGCTGCCTTTGCAATAGGCTTGGCAATGGGGATCCTACTTAGAAAGTGTGTCTGCCGACCCTGTGGATTTTGTGGTGGAGATAATCGCAAAGTTTTCAAAGCCTCCAAAATTTTGAAACCAGCCCCGGTCCAGAAAAAAAAACGATGACCACTACTTCGGTCCAGTCTATCTGACTACTTCTGTTGGACGATACTTTATGAAGCCCGATTGCCAGATGCACAAGATGCAAAAATGTGAGATATGCAAGGATTGCTTGAGAGATTTTAAGAAGAAATTTCATTCAGAGTAAACTGTCTACAAATTGGTCGCCCAAAAAAGACCAGGGTGAGACCACAGGGTTGCTTTGTGTCTTACAAAATGGTTCCCCCATTTTTCACAGTTTTTTGGACACTATGTTAACCCAAAATACTTGATGTTGGTGGGCAGGTGGGGTACCGTGGTGCCACCATTTTGTAGGCAGCAACCCCCATGGGTGCTACCATTTTGTAGGTGTCCCCATACCATTTTGTAGGGGGGTAGGCTGGGCACTCTACAGAATGGCACCTTCAGCGCCTAGGGGTTAATGTAAAGGGGGATACTGTATCTATATTATTCTATATGTGCGGCAAGATGTCTCTATATCGTTCTGTTCGATGTATATGGAGAACGGGAATTCCGTGGCAGACTGGATTTGGAAGGCAACCTAAGATTCACATCATTAGTACAATAAAACACAAGGGCCAGGAACATCAAGTGGGTGCAATAGGACGATCTCGGGAACGTTCCCACAGAGTTTCCCCTGGCCCAACATCCAACTTTTTGAACTCCGAATATTTTCGAATGGATAAAATGGCGAAACGAGAGATCCAGGCTGTGCGACAAGCGGAGTCCTCACAGGTCCCGACGCTGACGAGGTGCGACCAGCAGTTTCATGCGCACACGACACGACACGACGAGAAGAAATTAACACATCAATCCCTTCATTTGCCATTCTGTCTGCACTGTCACTATTTGTCATTCGTGTTCCATGTTAAAAGATGTTAAAAGATGTTAAAAGATGTTAAAAGATGTTAAAAGATGTTAAAAGATGACCGATGACAGCACTGTATGGCACGGTATAGCATTCTGGAGATTCCGATGCCAGGCTGCATGTGTCCATCGACAACGTCATGGTCTCGATTCCGCTGGAGACCGGTGGACAGGACAAAGAGCCTGTGGTAGAGATCCGAGCCAGGCACCTGCACAGCAATCTGCAGACAGTTCTGGGTTTTGGATGGTTTTGACTCAGTTTTGACATGTTTGAAAACGTTTGAAAACTCACATCAACATCATCAACATCATCAACTTGTTTTACTCTGTTTTCCGATGCCAGAGACTGACACAGGTGCATTAAGGCCAGCAATGGCCCTTGCCGGCGGCAGGGTCGCATTGGTCTTGTGGATGCTTTGGCTCTCAACTTCGAGCAGGCACTGGTGGGGAGCCGGAAAAAGGGACCCCAGCTTCGCATGGCATTCGCATGGCATTCGCATGGCATTCGCATGGCATCTTTTGTCTACAGATGTCTACAGGGGTTTCCTACGCTTTGAGATTCCAGTGTCCAGTGCATGTTATTAACTGTTACTGCATGTTACTACATGTTACTGGACTAAGCTACCTGAGTCATCCTGAGTCTATGTACTTTTCACGCCTTCCATGTGAGGTGAGCATTTTGGAAGCCGGAGGTGTGAGAATGGTGGCGCCCCAGGAGCCGAGCACGTGAACGTTGCACACGTTGCACACGTTGCGCATGTTATGGCTGCATTCTGGAGAGGATATGAGCGTACAGATCGACTTGAACCTTCAGGCATGGGTAGGTGGTGATATGACAGTGATATGACAGTGATATGTGGTACAAGGTGAAGTGAGCTGCCACATCAGTCTATTTGACATATTTGACATATTTGACATTGTACCACAAAAATCCAAGTTTTCCTGGTACCTTTGATTTTTCTCTTTCCAGGTGCGGGATCCACCGCTGCCAATGCATGTCCTGTGGCGAGCGCCAGCGCATTGGGAACTTTCATCTCGGAGCCACTCAGCATAGCCTGTCGTACAAGACAGACCCTGACGATGGGAAGATAGGATGAAAACATGTATATATATATGTATAAGTCACCATATTTGGTTATAAGCTAAATATATAAGAAGTGAATTCGAAACAACGGCTCCACTTTCCTGTCTTCCGGTGACTGGCATCTAATTTTTCTCAGGCTTAGCGTTGCTGCGTGCAGCCTTCTCCAAGAATGTCAGGGCCGAAGCTGCGGAGTCTGCTCATTGCAGCATGAATTCACATACTTTCACGTGCTTTTGGCAATTTGCATCAATTGTTTGCACAAAGAACTGTTGCTATTGTTGCTTGTTGTGAAACATGGTAATTAGATGTAATTGGATGTAATTAGATGTAATGCCATTCACGTCCTTGTGTGGACTTGTCAGATCTTGTCAGATCTTGTCAGGTTGCTGGCATCGATTTGGATTTGCCGCAGACGACTCCGAGCCCTGAGCAGCTCAGCAAACCCAAGGAGTTTCCAGTTTGGCTGGTCTTCAGGCGGCGACTGGCGCGTATTGATGCGTATTGTATGGACATGCTCCCTAGCACTTGTCAGCCGTGTACAGAGATGACAGATTTAAAGAAGTCATAAGAAGTCACATGCCCTCTGAATCTCTGGCACGACCTGTTCATATCTGCATTCCAAAGCAGTTTTGGCCCGTCGAAGGCTCCTCTTTCACAACTTCAAGCTGCGAATGCAGGACGCTGCCAAGTTTACATTCCTGGTTCGGCATTTGTATATTTTGTATTCTCTCAACACGTGAGCTAAACATGACTTCACTGTCACGAAGGAGAGCGAGAAGACTTTGGCAGAACTTGGTGCAAAGCAGCTCATCGTGGAGGTGAGAAGGTAGAATATGGATGAATATGGATGAATATGGTAGAATGTGGAATCTTCATTCGATTTCATTCGATGTCTCGTCCGCTCCCAGTGCTGTGTGCCAAGGTCAAGAAGCATGCAGCGCCGCGTGCAGTCATCAGCTTCCAGGTATGGGAGGTGCCAAACCAAATTCACTTAGATTCATTTAAGTATATAAGTATACATATTAATTACATATTTGTATAGAGTATAGATTTTTCAAATTTGTATTCATTTGTAATCATGTGTAATCATTTGTAAATACTGTACATCCATGATCATTCACGTAGATATCTTAGATGCCTCGGATTTAAGTGACAGGATCGAAGGCGCTTTCAAAGTCGATTTCTTTAAGATACAGCGCGCTTGTTTGTTTTTTTTTTAAATGATACGCTGCTGATTTTGGTAGGCGCGCTTGAGCAGCGGCTTGCTGCCAGCACCTTTCAACCAACTGCTTTGCAAACGGCCTTCACCCAAGGCTGGAACGAGAACTGTGACCCCCAGACCCCACTGTGACGAGTTTGTTGCTGCTTAGTGCTGTTGGAGCTTATGCAAGACCAATCGCCAGGCTTCTGCTCTTGGTCGAAAGGCGGATCTGTCCGTGACTGGCCAGTTGTGGTGCCTTTAACATCCTTTAACATCCTTTAAAATCCTTTAAAATCCTTTGAAATCCTTAAACATCCTTTATTTATTTTCGGTGTTTTCCATATATTCCATGCCCTGAAACTTTGCACCAATGTTTTTACTTCACCTTTCAGCACTTGCCAGGGGCCATCGGTCTATGGAGCATACACCTCAGACCATTCGACTGGGCAGGAATTCCAGGCGGTGCGATGTGCAAAGAATATGCAACGTGGCTTTTCGTTGAACGTTGATGTTCTCTGTCAAGTAACCTTTGAAAGGTCTGAAGAAATCAGGGCTTGGAGCTCCAGAAAATATCAAAACTTTGCAAGCTTCCAAGTTGGCAGATCCATTGCAGCCGTCCACGGGTGCTGCTTCTGCTGCCGCTGCTGCGGCGCTGTTGGGCGTGGATGTTCCTAGGCAAAATGTCATGTGTTTCTAGGGAAGTGTCGTTTGTCAACCTTTGTAATTTTTCTTAGCTACACATCTCCGTATTTTTCCATCTTCGTGGTGCAGCTTTCCAGAGGCTATCAAAAGTCTGCCACATGACAGAAACACGACAGAAACACACACACACACACACCCAAAATTCAAAAGATCCAAGAAGATCCAAGAAGAAAACGATAGAAAACGCATACGTCATGACGTCATGATTCAAGGATGTTCAGATTGAGATATTAAATGAATTTAAATGATATTAAGATAAATGTTGAGTGTGGAGAAGATTCTTCCAGCCTTGGTCTGGCTGATTTCTGCCTTTTTTTGGGTTTCGTTTTTGAAGCGCCGACGGATCGTTTAAGGTTTCCTCCAAAGCCTTGGTTTTCGCCTCCAATCATGCTTGGAGAAAGGCCCGCGAAAGACCACAGCAAGGGCAGACTTCTTTGTTCAGCTAGTCATAGCATGTAGCTTTAATAGCTAGATATAGCCATAGCTAATTACTTTGCTAGTACAGTCATAGCATGGAATAGCTTTAATAGCTAGTAGCTACTAGCTTGCGGTGTACATGATTTGCCGATCATTTGCAGATTCACGTAGATTTGTTCGACCGTAAGAGTGGGATCCTGCTCAGTAGGGGATTCAACATATTCAACATAGTGCTGCTGTAAGAAATCTGAAGCACAGAATGTCACATACGCAGCATGTGCACGGTGCATTCGGTGCATTTCTGCAGGCCGTCAAGCCAGACAGAGGTCAGAGCCGCACTGTCGGAATCTTAACTTTTGCTATGGCTAGGTGCGATGAAGGCACCACCTGACATTGAAGCTGCCGCGTAAGAGTGATTGACAGATGGAATCGTTTCTGCCTTTCGGCTCCGCTAGTATTTCCCGTTTCGCCGTTTCGCCTTGAATCTGCATGTCTTTTAGCTGGATGCTGCTGATCCTCTCGTGTTTCTGCGCTCAGTGGTGTGCTGCTAAGTCTAAGGCAAGACGCTCATGTGCTGCTGGTTGACAAGTTTGAGGACATGTGGCAATTAATCTTTGCAAGAGAGGTTTGTACATTGGGGGCAAGACTGAGTACATCAGAACTCCGATGTCACTCCATATCTGATGCCTTCCTTGCTTTTCAGATTTTGCAGGAGAAGGAGGGGCCTCTGATCTCTGTCCTGACCGACATGCAGCAACTTGGCAAAAGGTTCAAATGGTTCAGTTGCTTGAGCTGTGTCAGTCTTTCCGTCTTTCCTGTGAATGTCTTTTCATATTTTTCATGAAGATTCCTTAGACTTCCTTTGACCAAATCGGAGGGGTTGAACTGGTTAATCTACATTTTACTGATTACATTTTTTTTCGCAGCCAGGTACCAACTGGAGTCCAGTCCAGAAATGCAGCATCTCGGACTAGAAAAGCATCAAGACTTTAGCAAAGCACAGGAAACTACAATAAACTACAATATCAAATACATTTCAAATACATTTCAAATACTTGAGTTGTTGAGTCTCCTTGCCCGCGGACGAGAAGAGTCTTTTCAGAGTAACTTTCTGTCAGCTTGCTGCGTCGTTTTGATGACAGTGCCCAAGGAAATGGTGTATAAGCTTTGACAATCCAGAGGTGTTTTACACCCATGGATGGCCGGGTGTGGTTGTGACTCGCTTGCGGACAGTTATCTTTTGCAATGGGAACACACAAATCATCACAAATCAGTCAAAAAAATCCCTGTGACAGAAGACGACAAGCCGACAAGCAGCCAGCTGGATTCTCTGCCTGTTCAAGTGTCTCTTCCCAAGTTTGCTCCAACCTAAGGACATGGAGGTGAAAGATTCATTGAAGCATCGTTCATTGGCAAAGGCCAAAGACATGGCCGCTTCCTTTGCTTGGTTGTGAGGTACGTGTGAGGTGCTGTCAAGTGGTGAGGGGCGTCGCATGTGCGGCAGTGTCTGAGGCCTTTGACGTGGTGACAAAGACCCAGTCAGAAGGCACCAGAGTGCAGAGATCTGCAGAGATTCCAGAGATCACGGACATTCAGAGACTTAAAAAGAGACATGTTTTGTTCTTGTGATTTGTGGCTCCAGATTTGCTGGTCTTTTTTGTCCCTATTTTTGACAATTGTAATCAATTGTGAAGCAAGTGAACCTGTGGCTGTTTGGCATGTCATTGCAGTAGCTTTCACCACTCTACTTGTACTGTCGTACTGTTGTAGTGGCAAGCCTCCCGTGCAATTTCTTGCAGCGGCTCTCGGTTTCAGCATAAGCGAACTATTTGTTCAATTCGTCCCGCCAGGCAACACACTGGGAAGACGCTTGAGCTGTCAGGATTTGGGTCTTTAACTTGGTAGATCTGGAGTGACGAAGTCTTCAGTTTACACACACTGTATTCGGCGACGTTCGGCGAGCAAAACGTTGCAACTGGTGAAACGCTTTCCCTATGAAGATTCTTGAAGGAGCTTCGTGGCAACCTCTCCAATTGTGACCTTCACCTCTGGATCGCTTGCGTGAAGCGTGCGTGGGGCATAACGAAGGCCTTGTGCACCTGGAGGGGAATGTCAGCAGGGAACGTTCCAAACCGGAATGGAAACTGAAAGCTGCAGAAGATTTGCCCAACTTTGAGTCATCTTTTGAATCATGTCGAGTCTGCACATCTTTTCACATCTTTCCTGGCTTTCCGGTAGCTGCCAGGAGTTGCCCGAGGAGCCCAAGGATCAGTCCAACGACTCCAACGGCCCAGAGAACGCCAAGACAGCCCTGGAGTGGCCCAGCAAAATTGCTTAGACGGGTTTTGTTCAATGTGTTTCCCACACAGGTAAACAATGGTAAACAATGGTAAACACACAACGTATAGAAGTCCTCTGGATTCATCCTTTGATTTCAGAAATCCAGAGCTCTCGCAGGGTTGCTGAGAGCAAGCTGCAACCAGTTTCCAAAAATCAGGCTTGACTTCAGAGACGTGAATGTCACCCTCTTAAGCGAGCACGATTGCACAAACCCGGGGTCGTGCAGCTTGTCGGCAAAAACAGCACTAGAACATACTAGAACATTGTTTTTTTTTGAAAATCGAGACATTCCAATGGAAGGAGAACACATGAAGAACACGTGAAGAACATGCTGAGAACATATATTGAGAACACGACGCCAGATGTGTCGCAGCTCGAGGTCCGCGGTTTTTGAAACTGCGCAGCTCGGAGCTGTTCTTCAGCCAGTCCGAGCGCCTCGCCGAAGGCGTTGAGCGCCGCATCAGAGCCAAGCTGAGCCTTTGGTGCCTTGGACGGAGCAAAAGGATACCGCGAATGCCGGACATTTTATAGACAGTTGTGTTTAATTGTGGAACATTTTCTAGAAATGATTAAATCAAAGAAAGAGATGAAGATAGGATTTGAAGATAGAGGGAAGATGAAAGAGCCCTGTATTAGAACCAATATGCTTGTGTTTCTTCTCCTAGTTTCTGTCTTGGGGATTTGGATTTGGATCTTTGTTGCTGGAACCTCCAAATCTTTGACCATACATATCAAGACTCAATCCTTGGGCCTTCTTTGGGCCCATCAGGCCTACGGCCTAAGTGAAGCTTTTCATTTTTTCTCAACATCTTCAACCTGCCATATCTATCCATATCTGCCATGTTCGGATTCAGAGCGCCGCAGAGCGGTTCCATCTGGTTCCCAGGTTATTCAACCATATTGCGTCGGACTGGGAGCCCTTGTTGGAAGGGCAGCCGCTGGATGCCTCGGAGCCAAGGCCGTCTCAGAATGTCTCAGAGCAATTTGATTTTAGTTTCGCGGTTTCGCTTTGCTCAACAAACCTTGAGAATCTTGAGATGTCAAGAGGCAAAAGGTAGTAAAATCAGAGATGCTCGAGTTTGTCGAAAATTCAGAGAGATCAAATTAGGTAGGAAAAACAGAGAGGATCAGAATTGACTAAGTTTCACTCTGTCGGACAGAAGCATCAGGCAATATACGATAAAGGCGGTATGTGTCTTGGCTTTTCATTGACTCAGTGCTACAAAGTGCTACAAAGTGCTACAATCTCTGCCATTGGATGCCGAAGATTTCACCAACGGACGACAGTGCCTTCGATCCCGGGAAGCTAAAGGATTCCAGAAACATCCAGAAACCCATGTTATCCCATGTTGTCCATGTTCTTCGTTGTTTCAAATATGTCGAAAGTGAAGTGTCAGGAAGAACACCCTGAGCCAAAGAAGCGATTCACCCAATTGTTATCCACACGGAAACGGCAATTGGAAACAGCTGCTTGAAACTTCGGGCTGGCTAAGTTCAAACAGCTGTCTCAGCTTCTCACAAGATAGGAGGACACGCAAGTGTCACCTGCAAAGCCAACAAGCAGCAGTTTGTGGTAAACCTTGGACTGGAAGATATTGGAAGGGATGATATATTATGATATATCTATATCTATGAAAATTGTACTACCTGTATTATAATGTATACACATATACAGCATATACACATGATATTTTGCATTTTCCTTTCGTCACGAAAAATAGAGGTGGGTTTTGCTTGTTGCTGAGGTAATAGTCTGTCAGATGCCACTGAAGAGGCTGAAGCGCTGATTCGTGGGTGGTAGGAAGAAACCAAGACACAGGGGCAAGAACCGACCAAAAAATGGGAGAAACAAATTGGAAAAAATAAGTAATGCGATTGAAGTGGAGCAAATGTTTGTTGCACGTGGAGCGGATGCGGATCTTCCAGCCTTGATTATGATGAAATGGAAACTCAGACCTCTGATGAATGAGAACCACAACTCAAAATACTCAAACCTGAACATTCGATAAATGGGAAGTGTTGCTTTGCAAGAATGTTTTTTTGCGCCACGCAGAAGGTACAAACTGGTTATCGGTTCTTTTCTGTCGCACAGGGGCCATCAACCTCGATCAGCATCGAGAGCGCAGATCGGCTGCTGGTGTTTCTTGGCGCAGATCATAACTTCGATGCCGGCTGAAGCCTGGATTAGTGACTGATAGTGTGACCGTATGCGCTTTGACATCTTTGACCCACTCAAGTCACTTGAGTCACTTGAGTCACTTGCATCAGGAATGTCTCAGAGCTTTGTTGGCATGTGCTTCCCGCATTGAGTGCACCCTGGTTGGCGCCAGATGGAGTGGCACCTGCCTCGGGACATTTGTCATAGTTTGCAGATTGCAGGGTGGAATTGCCAAATCGCAAACGTTCAAGCAACATAGATAACCTCTAGATGGATTTCAAGCAAAACAGGCATTATCACTGAATTATCACAACGACACACAACAACACACTTTTAATATCTTTTAATCAAGAATTTCGTATTTCTTTTTGGACTTTTAATGCAGCTCTCTGCCACTGAAAAAAGCTTCCCTTCTCGCATTGCCAAGATGCCGCCTCCGCTTTTGTCTCCGTATGCTGTACGAAACTTGGCCGCAAATTAAACAAGTCACTTTGCTAACAGTATCCGAGGGGCGGGTTTGGAAGAGTTGTTGTCTGATCTGGAGTCAAAGACCAGGGTCCAACTCTGCGATTTTGCGAATTTCTTACATTTATTCTGGATACTTGTTGTCGCTTGTTGTGGCTTGTTGTTTCTGTAAGACGTGCAGAAAAGTCTCGTTGCAGGATTTGTTTCTCTCTTGAATCGGTCTAGCGGCTGATCTCAAGCCTTGCCAGGCAACGATCTTGGCATGCCGATCGCTCTGCATTTGCCCCACACCAAAAATGGCCGAGCCAGAAGGTTGGGCAAAAGCAAGCAAAGCAAAAAACGAAGTTATGTTCTGAAACTGCAAAGTCTGCAAAGTGCCAGCTGTAGCAGAAATTTACTGGAGTCTTGTCCGAATGCAGGAAATATTGTCTGTTATATGAAACTCATGAACACATGTAAGAATAATTAAGCATAATATACACATACACACATACACACATACACACATACACACATACACACATACACATACACACATACACATACACATATACACATACACACACATGTACATACATACATACATACATCCATACATCCATACATCCATACATCCATACATCCATACATCCATACATCCATACATCCATACATCCATACATCCATACATCCATACATCCATACATCCATACATCCATGCATAGATGCACAGATACATAGATACAAAGATACATACGTACATAGATACATACGTACATAGATACATACGTACATAGATACATACGTACATAGATACATAGATACATAGATACATAGATAGATAGATAGATAGATACAGACATACGTACGTACGTACGTACATACATAAATAGATACATAGAGACACAGATACACAGACACACAGATACACAGATACACAGATACATACATACATACGTACGTACGTACGTACGTACATACAGACATAGATACATAGATAGATAGATAGATAGATAGATATAGAAACAAAAAAACAAACAAACAAACAAACAAACAATCAATCAAACAAACAAACAAACAAACAAGCATGCATGCATGCATGCAAACATACATACAAGTATACATACATACATGCATGCATGCATACATAGATAGATACAAAGATACACAGATACACAGATACATAGATACATACATACATACATCCATCCATCCATCCATCCATCCATACACCATACATCCATACATAGATGCATAGATACATAGATACATAGATACATACATAGACGTACGTACGTACGTAAGTACATACATGCATGCATACAGATACATACATAGATACATACATCCATCCATCCATACACCATACATCCATACATCCATACATAGATACATAGATACATAGATACAGAGATACATACATACAAAAAAAACATGATTATATATTTATATGTCAATTTTCATGTTTTAAGATGTTTGGAAATCCAAAGACGTTTTGAATGGTTTCGCATTGTGCAGGGTCCGTTTAGAACCCTCGTCGGAGCAGCGCCTGGAAGCTCCGCATTGGACCGAGGATGTTGAAACGAAACGACTCAACAGTGACTGAACAACTCGAATAACGAATTAGTTATTTCAGAAATGTATTCTAATTATTTCAAATGTAGTCAGAAATTAATGAAATACCATGTTTCGAAAAGAATCAGAAAAGGAGTCAGAACAAAAACGTTCAGAAGTGACTCACAAAAATGTACAGAAGTAACCTGACTAATTTCTCACTTTTGCAGCCAATTGTGGACACTTCGTAATGGATGTGCTTGTTGCCAGATTTGATTTGTGCTACACAGAAGACCGATTTCGCGTCAAATCTATAGAATCTACCTGACTCGATCCAAAAGGCTTCACTGAATTCACCATAATTCACCCCTCGCTTGTCAGCTTGTCATCAGCTTGTCATCAGCTTGTCATCAGCTCATCACTGAGCCCGGCTGAGCCCGGCTGAGCCCTTCGAGGAGTCGAAGGAGTCGAAGGAGTCGAAAGAGTCGAAGGAGTCGAAGGGCTTTCGGACTCGAAACCTGGCCACGGTGGAGCCCGGCGCCTCAGTTTCGACGCCGTGGACACCGTACGGACACCGTACGGACACCGTACGGACACCGTGGACGCCTCGATGCCGATTCGTTCCGTCCCAGGTTGGAAGGTCCGCGGGCAGTCGAGGCGGGTCCCTATGAAAAGTCGATCTGTGGTGAAGCTGTGAGAATATGTGAGAATACTTAACATCATTCAACATCAACCTACAATTTATGAATATTTATGACTATTTGATACTATTTGTGCTTTTGTATTGAGATGTTTTTGAGTCTTCATGATCTTAATTGGTCTGAATTGGTCTGCTGGCCTTTGTCGTTCGAACCAGGTGGAAGGCATTTCTTTGGATTGTGTGGGACGACGGGTTTATCCTCTTCCAGCAGGCTTGGAAAAGATGTAAGGAAAAGATGTCACAAGATGACACTGTTTGAACATTTTGAAGCCGTCAACTCAAGAGTTCAATTGCTCTTGCCTGCTCTACTATACTATACTATACTATACTATACTACACTATACAATACAATACAATACATATATATATATATTCATGCATTGAGTTTGGCAGGCTTGGGTGTGCATGTGTCATCTTTAAGTGAGTCAATGAATGCTTTCATTTTGGCTCAAGTGGAGCTGAGCCAAAATAGCATTCATTGCTGTTTCTTTCCTGGCCCTGGTAAGGGGTGACCTTCCTAGACCTTGATTGAGCGGCTCACCACATCAATAACCAGGGGTGACCTGGTTGGTTACAAGCATCGTAAGGGGTGACCTGGTAGTTGCAAGGGGAGACCGTGCATGCAGCGTAAGCTTCGTGGGAGCGACATCCCGGCGGCCACCGAGGCGTCGCTCCTCCATGCTGCTGCGTTCCTGGAGTTCAAGCAGCACGTGGCGAAGCGATGCATTCTTGCTGCAGCAGTTCTTGGAAGACGCCAGAAACGGCTTTTGTGCACCTCCTCTGCGGCGAGCAGAGTTCCTCAGGGACATTGGCGGCCGGGCACATCGTCTTATCCTGCGCTGTGTGACCACCCAAAGTTCGGGGAAACAACGAGTCATCGACAACGGTGACACCGGAGGGCAATCAGACCTTTCTTCCGATGCCAACATGCTTACACTATGTAGTCGCCCATAAGCCTGGTTATGCGTCGTTGGTCTGAGGACGAGGTCGCCGAGTTTTGTCACCATGATGCCTGGGAGACAGGCTAAGAGGACCTGCCGTCTGCCTAAAGGTACTGCCCCATGTCAGCAGGAGAGCTTAGGCTGCGTTGTCGTCTGGTTTCACTGATGAGTGGCAAACTCCGGTATCCCAGGTCTATGCAGGCCTCTTGTTTAGGCTCCCCCTGGCAATCACTTCGTTCAACTGATTTTCCCAGACTGTTGGAAGCGCTGACTCGCTGGTATTGCCAAGTTTTGACATCCCTGTACTTTAATGCCGCGATCACTGATGTCCGCTCTGCCAAGGGCTCCGGGCAATGGGCGATGAAACAACTATGCCTGATGATCGGATCTTTATTTGCGGAAGACAAAACGCAGACCATGCAGAGCACTGGCGCTTCTTTGGGACTTACCCATGACCTGAGTTGCATCAATAAGACAGGTCATCTTCGTTTTTGAGCCCGCACCAGACTCCATGGCAAAGTTCGTGATGTCTTGCCACAGCACGTCAAGCAGGCCACTTTACTCGAGGCACAGCTTCCAAACTTTATAGACTTGCAATCTTCTTGGAACAAGGTATTTCTGGGCGAGTCGGGTATGGCGGTCTCATGGCCATCAAGGCACGCAACTGGAGCTCTCTATGGTGTTGTGCGCCTTGATCGAGCGCCCCGACCTTTTCCGACATCGACATGGTCTCTGGTTCCTCGACAACGTTGCCGCAGTCATGACCTTGGTGAGAGGGCGCTCTAGCAATTCGGGGTTAGCAAAGCTCGGCCATTTGATCCATTTGGCTCTGTTTGCACTGCGTGCCCAGCACTTGAGGGTTCCCAACACTTGCCATGCATATGAATTGACTTTTTAAGCGAGTTTCAGTTTCCAAGTAGGGGTGATCCTACTTCTGGAAACCTGGATATTTGCGATTTCAGCAGCGCTGGCTGCTGCTGGTTTTGACTTCCCCAAGCAAGCTGGGTGTCGGCAGTGGGCACAGAAATGTGGGCGTTTGCTGTTTTAAGCAGGTTGGGTTTCCAGCAGGAGGTGATCCTGCTTGGTGTGGCCGTACTTGCTTTCGTGACATATATTGGGGTCCAAGCGGGGGTGATCCTCCTTGATGGCGCCCAACACTTGCCATGAGTATTGCTTGGACCACAGGGGGAGTGACCACACGGCTGTGGGCCTCTGCGTTCTCAAGTAGGTTGGGTTTCAAGCAGGAGGTAACCCTACTTGGTATGGCCGTATTGCTTTAGGGGCATAGGGTTTGGGTCCAAGTGGGGGTGGTCCTACTTGAGGGTGCCCAACACCTGCCATGAATATGGCTTGAAGTTTTAAGAACAATTTCAGTTCCAAGTAGGGGTGATCCTGCTTCTGGGCAACTTGGTTTCTGGCCATTTCAGCAGCTGGAGGCTGTTGGTTACTTTGACTGCCCCAAGCAAGCTGGGTTTCCAAGTAGAGGTAACGCTACTTGAGGATCACAGGTTGCCCACTGGCACTGCCAGGGAGTGAACACAGGGCTGTGGGCCTCCGCTGTCTTAAGCAGGTTGGGTTTCAAGCAGGAGGTAATCCTATTTGGTGTGGCCGCACTTGCTTTCGTGACATAGTTTTGGGGTCCAAGTGGGGGCGATCCTACGTTTTGGTGCCCAGCACTTGCCATGAATCTGGCTCGAATTTTTAAGCGAATTTCAGCTACCAAGTAGGGGTGATCCTACTTCTGGGCACTTGTTTTTTTTTGCAAATTCAGCAGAACTGGAGGTTGTTGGGTCTGACTTCCCTCCAGGAGGCTGGGTTTCCAAGTAGAGGTGACGCTACTTGCAGGCCACAGGTTGCCCATCGACACTGCCAGGCAGTGACCAGAGGGTTGTGGGCCTCTGCTGTCTTAAGCAGGTTGGGTTCCAAGCAGGAGGTAATCCTACTTGGTGTGGCCTTACTTGCTCTAGCAACATAGGTCCGGCGTCCAAGTGGGGATTATCCCACTTGAGGGTGCCCAGCAGTTGCCATGAGTATGGCTTGAAATTTAAGCAAATTTCAGTTTCCAAATAGGGGTGATCCTACTTCTGGAAACTGGATTTTTGCAATTTCAGCAGAGCTGGGGGCTGTTGGTTTTGACTTCCCCAAGCAAGCTGGGTGGCGGCAGTGAGCACAGAGATGTGGGCCTCTGCTGTCTTAAGCAGGTTGGGTTTCAAGCAGGAGGTAATCCTGCTTGGCGTGACCTTATTGCTTTAGTGACATATGTTTTGGGCCCAAGTGGGGGTGATCCTACTCGTTGGTGCCCAACACCTGCCATGAACGTGGCGTCAGTTTTTAAGCGAATTTTGGTTTTCAAGTAGGGGTGACCCTACTGGTGGAAACTTGGAGGTTTTCGTTTTCAGCAGAGCTGGAGGCTGTTGGTTTTGACTGCCCTAAGCAAGCTGGGTGTCGGCAGTGCGCACAAAAATGTGGGCGCTTGCTGTTTTAAGCAGGTTGGGTTTCCAGCAGGTGGTGATCCTGCTTGGTGTGGCCGTACTTGCTTTAGTGACAATTGTTTTGGGTCCAAGTGGGGGTGATCCTACTCGTTGGTGCCCAACACTTGCCATGAACGTGGCGTCAGTTTTTAAGCGAATTTTGGTTTCCAAGTAGGGGTGACCCTACTTGTGGAGACTTGGAGGTTTTCGTTTTCAGCAGAGCTGGAGGCTGTTGGTTTTGACTGCCCCAAGCAAGCTGAGTGTCGGCAGTGCGCACAGAAATGTGGGCGTTTGCTGTCTTAAGCAGGTTGGGTTTCAAGCAGGAGGTAACCCTACTTGGTGTGGCCTTATTGCTGTAATGGCATAGGTTTTGGGTCCAAGTTGGGGGTGGTCCTACTTGAGAGTGCCCAACACCTGCCATGAACATGGCTTGAAATTTTAAGGAAATTTCAGCTTCCAAGTAGGGGTGATCCTACTTCTGGGCAACTTGCTTTCTTTTTTTTTGCATTTTCAGCAGAGCTGGAGGCTGTTGGTTTTAACTGCCCCAAGAAAGCTGGGCTTCCAAGTAGAGGTAACGCTACTTGGGGATCACAGGTTGCCCACTGGCACTGCCAGGGAGTGACCACAGGGCTGTGGGCCTCCGCTGTCTTAAGCAGGTTGGGTTTCAAGCAGGAGGTAATCCTACTTGGTGTGGCCGCACTTGCTTTCGTGACATAGTTTTGGGGTCCAAGTGGGGGCGATCCTACGTTTTGGTGCCCAGCACTTGCCATGAATCTGGCTCGAATTTTTAAGCGAATTTCAGCTACCAAGTAGGGGTGATCCTACTTCTGGGCACTTGTTTTTTTTTGCAAATTCAGCAGAACTGGAGGTTGTTGGGTCTGACTTCCCTCCAGGAGGCTGGGTTTCCAAGTAGAGGTGACGCTACTTGAAGGCCACAGGTGGCCCATGGGCATTGCCAGGCAGTGACCAGAGGGTTGTGGGCCTCTGCTGTCTTAAGCAGGTTGGGTTCCACGCAGGAGGTAACCCTACTTGGTGTGGCCTTATTGCTTTAGTGGCATAGGTTTTGGATCCAAGTTGGGGGTGGTCCTACTTGAGAGTGCCCAACACCTGCCATGAACATGGCTTGAAATTTTAAGGAAATTTCAGCTTCCAAGTAGGGGTGATCCTACTTCTGGGCAACTTGCTTTCTTTTTTTTTGGGCATTTTCAGCAGAGCTGGAGGCTGTTGGTTTTAACTGCCCCAAGCAAGCTGGGCTTCCAAGTAGAGGTAACGCTACTTGGGGATTACAGGTTGCCCACTGGCACTGCCAGGGAGTGACCACAGGGCTGTGGGCCTCCGCTGTCTTAAGCAGGTTGGGTTTCAAGCAGGAGGTCATCCTACTTGGTGTGGCCGCACTTGCTTTCGTGACATAGTTTTGGGGTCCAAGTGGGGACGATCCTACGTTTTGGTGCCCAGCACTTGCCATGAATCTGGCTCGAATTTTTAAGCGAATTTCAGCTACCAAGTAGGGGTGATCCTACTTCTGGGCACTTGTTTTTTTTGCAAATTCAGCAGAATTGGAGGTTGTTGGGTCTGACTTCCCTCCAGGAGGCTGGGTTTCCAAGTAGAGGTGACGCTACTTGAAGGCCACAGGTTGCCCATCGACACTGCCAGGCAGTGACCAGAGGGTTGTGGGCCTGTGCTGTCTTAAGCAGGTTGGGTTCCACGCAGGAGGTAACCCTACTTGGTGTGGCCTTATTGCTTTAGTGGCATAGGTTTTGGGTCCAAGTGGGGGTAGTCCTACTTGAGGGTGCCCAACACCTGCTATGAAATCCTACTTCTGGCAACTGGATTCTTGCAATTTCCGCAGAGCTAAAGGCTGTTGTTTTTGGCTGCCCCAAGCCAGCTAGGTCTCCAAGTCGAGGCACCGCTACTTGAGGCTCACAGGTTCCCCATCGACACTGCCAGGCAGTGACTACAGGGTTGTGGGCCTTTGCTGTCTTAAGCAGGTTGGGTTCCAAGCAGGAGGCAATCCTACTTGGTGTGGCCTTAATTGCTTTAGCGACATAGGGTCCTTCCAATTGGGGGTGATCCTACTGGTGGGTACCCAACACTTGCCATGAATATGGCTTGAAGTTCAACCGAATTTGAGTTTCCAAGTAGGGGTGATCCTACTTCTGGAAACATGGTTTGTTTTTGCAATTTCAACAGAGCTGGAGGCTGTTGGTTTTGACTGCCCCAAGCAGGCTGGGTTCCCAAGTAGAGGCAACGCTACTTGAGAAGCCCAGGTTGCCCATCGACCCTGCCAGGCAGTGACCACAGGGCTGTCTTGAGCAGGTTGGGTTCCAAGCAGGAGGCAATCCTACTTGGTGTGGCCCTAATTCCTTTAGCGACATAGGTTCGGCGTCCAAGTAGGGGTGATCCTACCTGAGGGTGCCCAGCTGTTGCCATGAATATGGCTTGAATTGTTTAAGCGAATTTCAGTTTCCAAATAGGGGTGATCCTACTTCTGGAAACTGGATTTTTGCAATTTCAGCAGAGCTGGGGGCTGTTGGTTTTGACTTCCCCAAGCAAGCTGGGTGGCGGCAGTGAGCACAGAGATGTGGGCCTCTGCTGTCTTAAGCAGGTTGGGTTTCAAGCAGGAGGTAATCCTGCTTGGCGTGACCTTATTGCTTTAGTGACATATGTTTTGGGCCCTAGTGGGGGTGATCCTACTCGCTGGTGCCCAACACTTGCCATGAATGTAGCGCCAGTTTTTAAGCGAATTTCGGTTTCCAAGTAGGGGTGTTCCTACTTCTGGAAACTTGGATTTTTGCGGTTTCAGCAGAGCTGGAGGCTATTGGTTCTGACTGCCCCCAGCAAGCTGGGTTTCTAAGTAGAGGTAGCGCTACTTGAGGTTCACAGGTGGCCCATGGGCATTGCCAGGCAGTGACCACAGGGCTGTGGGCCTCTGCTGTCTTAAGCAGGTTGGGTTACAAGCAGGAGGCACTCCTGCTTGATGTAGCCCTACTTGCTTTTGTGACATAGGTTTGGGATCCGAGTGGGGTCAATCCTACGTGGTGGTACCCAACACCCGCCAGGAGCCTGGCTCGAAATTTTTAAGCGAATTTCAGCTCCCAAATACGGGTGCTCCTACTTCGGGACACCTGAGGTTCTGAGCATTCAGTAAACTGGAGGCTGTTGGTTTTTGACTGGTCACAGCTTGCCCACCGGCACTGCCAGGCAGTGACCACAGGGCTGTAAGCCTCTGCTGTCTCAAGCTGGTTGGGTTTCAAGCAGGAGGTAATCCTACTTAGTGTAGCCCTACTTGCTTTAGCGACATAAGTTCGGCATCCAAGTGGGGGTGATCCTACCTGAGGGTGCCTAGCAATTGCCATGAATATGGCTCGAATTTTCAGCGAATTTCAGTTTCCAAGTAGGGGTGATCCTACTTCTGGAAACTTGGATTTTGCAATCTCAGCAGCGTGGGCTGCTGTTGGTTTTGACTCCCCCAAGCAAGCTGGGTGTCGGCAGTGCGCTCACAGATATGGGCCTCTGCTGTCTCAAGCCGTTTGGGTTTCAAGCAGGAAATATTCTGCTTGGCTTCAGTGACGTAGGTTTGGGGTCCAAGTGAGGGTCCTACTCGTTGGCACCCGTTTTTTTTTTCTTCTTTTTTTTACGTTCTCAGTAGAGCTGGAGGCTGTTGGTTTTGACTGCCCCAGCAAGCCAGGTTTCTAAGTAGAGGTAACGCTACTTGAGGTTCACAGGTTGCCCATGGGCATTGCCAGGCAGTGCCCACAGGGCTGTGGGCTTAAGCTGGTTGGGTTTCAAGGAGGAGATGATCCTGCTTGGTGTGGCCTTATTGCCTTAGTGATTCAGGTTTGGAGTCCAAGTGGGGGTCATCCTACTTGCTGGCACCCGTGTTTGCGTTTTCAGCAGAACTGGAGGCTGTTAGTTTTGCCTGCCCCAGCAAGCCAGGTTCCAAGTAGAGGTAACGCTACTTGAGGTTCACAGGTTGCCCATGATCATTGCCAGGCAGTGGCCACAAGGCTGTAGGCCTCTGCTGTCGTAAGCAGGTTGGGTTTCAAGCCGGAGGCAATCCTACTTGATGTGGCCTTACTTGCTTTTGTGACATAGGTTTGGGGCCCACGTGGGGGCGATCCTACGTGGTGGTGCCTTCCACTTGCCATGAATCTGGCTCGAACTTTTAAGCGAATTTCAGCTTCCAAGTACGGGTGCTCTTACTTCGGGAAACTTGAGGAGCAGGGCATCTATGGGCGAGTTGGCTATGGTGACCTTATGGCAGTGAAGGCTTGCCAGGACGAGAGTGTCACCAGCTTGACTTCAGAGATTGAAGAATGCTTCGAGGTGATCGAAGCAGTGATGCGTTTCGAGCCAAAACGTGAATTTACAGTTTTGTTGCTACCAATTGCGAAGAACTACAATTCCTGTGGCAGCCTGCAGAGACCCACATTGCGCAGTTGGAGCTCTCCATGGTAATTTACACCTTGAGTGAGAGCCCTGGCCTTCTCCGCCATCGACACGGTCTATGGTTCCTCGACGCTGTGGCTGCAGTCATGACCTTAGTGAGGGGACGTTCTAGCAATTCGGACCTAGCAAAGCTAGGCCATCTGATTCCTTTGGCCCTCTTCGCACTGCGTGCCCAGGGCTACTGGGAGTACGTCCAGAGCAAGAGCAACTGGGCCGACGACTTGGTGGCGCTGCCATGGATCTAGCTTTCATTCGTCGTACCTCCCCACAATCTTTTTCCAGTTGCCATTCGTTGCAGTCATTCTCACCTTTGAACTCCTCTAGTGCTTTGGGTGTTTGAGTGCGTTGGGTGATACCTGCAAAGGCAGGTCCCAACCTGGGGTGACCAGGTTGCTGACCAGAGGTGATTCGGTCTGGGGCTATGTGCGAGTCACATTGTGACACATCCAAAGCAAACCTGAGGAGAGCAGGTGAAACAGACTGAACTTTGGTAGGTGGTTGAAAAAGAGCTGTGCGCGGAAGACGTGGTGAGTTCTTCATATGTCACTTTGAGATGTATTCATGCATTGAGTTTGGCAGGCTTGGGTGTGCATGTGTCATCTTTAAGTGAGTCAATGAATGCTTTCATTTTGGCTCAAGTGGAGCTGAGCCAAAATAGCATTCATTGCTGTTTCTTTCCCCACCCTCCCAACCCTAAGAGCCGACCTCCCGTGGAGATGTCCGCCTAGGTTAGGGGAGCCTGCATGGCAGGCGAGTACATAGCCTCTTTCGGGGATACTCTTTTGGGGCGACCAAAAGAAACTTCCCTCCCTTAGGTTAAGGGACGGGTGATACCTGCAAAGGCAGGTCCCAACCTGGGGTGACCAGGTTGCTGACCAGAGGTGATTCGGTCTGGGGCTATGTGCGAGTCACATTGTGACACATCCAAAGCAAACCTGAGGAGAGCAGGTGAAACAGACTGAACTTTGGTAGGTGGTTGAAAAAGAGCTGTGCGCGGAAGACGTGGTGAGTTCTTCATATGTCACTTTGAGATGTACATAAATACATTTGTGTACAGTAAATAAGTCAATAAACAAATAAGCATAAATATGCAATCATACACAGAACAACACGGGTGCAGACGGAAATTAGCCATGAAGGACATATCACATATTCTGTCACTTTGCGGTGCGCATGTCGACGTCTTTGTGTAATTCGTTGACAGGAATGACACGCTCAAGCAGAAGTTCAAGCGAGCAGGTGTGGTGTTTTGAGATTTGTTTTGATCCACTGGAACAGACTAGAACTATCAGAAATTCAGCTCGCAGACCCAGGTGCTGCCCGGGCAGGCAGGGATCCGTGGCTCAAGTTTCGGTCCATCCTAAATTTGTTCGTCGACCTGTGAGGCCCACCAAGCAGTAGTGGCTGCGAGTCGCAAGGCGAAAAAAATGTTGGAGTCAGCTTTGGATATGGGATTCAGATGGATGCAGGACCGATCATTAGGCCAACGCGTAAGTCAGGGATCCGCAAATGCAGAGGCCCTGTGAAAACTGTTTCTTCCCTCTCAAAACGACATTGTACTGAACCAGATGACAATGGAAGGGAGGAGGCCAAACTGTTCAAGACTCGCAACCCCAAAAGTTCCCTTTTGGGATTTGTGATTTTTAACATGGGTGCAGATTTTTTGATAACAAAAAGCAAGTTGGAGCGGTACTGTCATCGTTTAAAAATCATCAAGAGTTGGATTCGAATGCTCACGGCCAAAATTCAACAGTTGTTACGGTTAGGATTATGCCTTTCAGAGTCCAAAGTGTCAGGGCCTAACCAGAGCAACAAGCCATCCAGAATTGAGGCGGGGCCCAGCAAGACCTCAAGCCTTGGATAGTCCAATAGCGTCAGTCTTCCGAAAAATTGGCAGGATTTTCTACTTGCTTCTGCTCCACATACTGTTGCATGTGTTTTATTCCATGCTTCTCGGCTGTTTGGCCTAGTTGCTTTCTAAAGCCCTTGCTTGTTCAGGCCGAAAAATATCAGCGTCTCTGTACTCTTCCGTCAATGCATGTTGTCGGTTTCGTTTCTTCGGTCAATGTATTGTTGGAGGCGTGTCGAAGATGCCAAAGGCACTCGCTCCATGGCCGCAATGGGACCTCAGCAGTCAGATTTGAAGGTTGAACTCATGGGAAGCAAGTCTTTGGATTTCTTTTGGACGCCTTTTTTTCTACCATCATCTTATCATATCTTCTCATTTTCTCCTTCCCGTTCTACCGAACTTTCCCGTGAATTTTCTCTTGAACATCTCCGACATCGCGCAGCTCCGAGGTTTTTTGCCGACGCCCTACCTGGTTTGCCGTGTGCAGGCCAAAGAGGCCATGCAGTGACACGAGAGCACGTGGAGACATGACGTGGAGACGTGACGTGGAGACGTGACGTGGAGACGTGACGTGGAGACGTCTACAGCACCGTATCCTGCGGTTTTTCCTCAAGACCCACCGGTTTCAACGGTTTCAACTTCGGTTTCAACTCACCTTGCGAGGCGTACAAAAAGATCGTTCTGGAGCCACCTGCGCGGATCATCAATCAGATGAACGTGTCTGCCTGCTCCTTACTCCTTACCACTCCTTACCACTCCTTACCACTCCTTACCACTCCTTACCACTCCTTACCACTCCTTACCACTCCTTGCCGCCAGGCCTTTTAGAGGGTCGGGCATGATTGGCCCAGGGGAGTTGTGCATCCACTGAAGATGTACAGCCTACCAAAGAACTTAATACGCTGAGGTCGAACTCAAACTCTCAGTGAATGGAAAGGACTAGAGATTTCTGAGAACTGCTGAGCCAAGATGGACATCAAAGTGATTCCAGCAGTTTTACAGCTACTCTGTGAAATCCCAAGTTCGCAGCTGTTCACAGTGCAAAGAGCTTCGTGGCAAACTTGACATTTGCAGTTGATCAGACTTGATCAGGAGATTCTCCGCACGGAGGTTCTGCTTGGTGTATCTCTTTTCTTCGTGTGGTCCATAAAAATATGGTCCGTGCACATTTCTGAAACTTTCGGATCAGAGGATTAGAGTGAATCTGTTTGATTCTTGGATACTTGTGGAATCCTACGAATATCTAAGATATTTCAATTGATCAATTCATTTGTATCCATTCAATCCTCTTATATCTATGGATATTCAATATCCTTCATGTTTTTTTTTTTTCATTTGATCAATTCATAGCAGCCAGGTGCCTCCGGAGGGTACGGCTGTGCCGCTGGACCTGCGTGGTGCCTTTGTGGCGCGGCCAACGATGTGGCGAGGCCCGCTGCAGTTTGAATATGCTAATTACATATAACTCGATCATACAACATATATATAATATAATATAATATAATATAATATAATATACGTAATAATATATAATATACATATAAATATATGTATTATATATATATTATACATAATATATGTGTATATATTATAAACCATAATATATACGTACATACATATATATATATTAATTAAACCATAATATATATATATACATATTATAAACCATAATATATATATATATATATAATACCATAATATATATATATATATTATACATAATATATATACATATATATATATATTATAAACCATAATATATACACATATATATATATATATATATTATACATAATATATAAATATATATTATACATACTAGTAATATATATATATATATACATATTATACATATTATATATACAATATAATATACATCATAATATAATATATATATATCACAAATTTGTTACAAGAGATTGCACAAAACGACATACTTGTCAACTACAACCAAACTGAATACTGCATCTCATTTCGAATCAGAAGATTCTAAGGGATGCAATAACATTGCGAACATTGCATAATGCAACCAAGCAGAATGACAAATTTTGACCTTTGTAGGTGTTCAATGGAGCCGGGAGTTCCTGTTCGAATGGCTTGGTTCCACACAGCAGGTGCCACAATCAGAAATCATGGACGGAATGTGATAGATTGACCGTCGAAACTGACGGATACTGCTTGACTTCAGCATTGTCTCAACTCAGTGCAGGCAATGGAAGATATGGAAGATTTGATTCTGATACCTGGGAGCTTTAATTTCATACATTCCGCTGGATCTCTCTTCAGGCTGGGGACTTCAGATGTGCTTCTCCAGGGGACAAGGCAAGTGCGAATTCCGAAGAGTTTTACAGCAAAGGCCACTGATGGTCACTGGATCCACTGGATCACTTGATGTGCTTTGCATCCTGCACTCAGGATGCGGAAGGCTCCTTTACATTCTGCTTGGCGGCCAAGAGTCATGCCTCTGGCTTTGGGCTAACACGAACAGCATGTGCAGAGACTGCTCAAATGGTTGGATGATTTCAGATGTATTGTGACTGGCCAAGGCATCGAGTGGCAGACCGAGTTTATTCCGCATCATGAGACTAGCCGGCAATTTATGTGACCATTGGATTGAGAGGGAACGGCATCTATTTCTTTTTTGCTCCTCTTTCTTGACCGCAGTTTGTCCGTTGTGTGACGCGTATTGTTCCGTTCCAAGATGTTCCAAGGACTTGTGCGCCCCACAATACACAATCCGCCTTTGTGCACCTGCGGGGAACTCAGCTCTGAAACCCACCAGCTTCTCGAGCGGCTAGGACCTAGGAGCGATCAGGCAGTAAAAATAGTAAAAGCCCCGGAAGTTCGCTAAGGTGACATTGGTGTCTGCTCTGCCGGTGGCATGCAAATGCGAGGTGCAGACAAATCAGACAATCTCCTCTACTTCAAGAGTGGAACATCCCAAGAATTGCACTTGGACCAAGCTTCGATGCAGTTTGCATGAAATGAGTTATATATGTTCTCAATGGACTGGCGCTCTGTTTCTCAGAGACCTTTGCCCGAAGCACTTCCTGTGGGACAGACACAGAACGCACAGAAGATCACACAAGACACAGAGTGCCAGGTTCGCCAGGTGAAGTCGACGGGTGAAATCGCGTGGAGACAAATCAGGGTGTCTCGTCACGTCTTGACATGTCTCGACTGTCTCGACTCATCTTGTATCATTTTGTCGCCGATGAACACAACAGGATCATCGATCATCCATCGTCAGTGCGACGATGTGACGATGTGACGATCACATGATATGTCTGATATGTGACATGCAGAGCGACACTCAGACCTCTCAGGACCTTGCCGCTCTGGAGAAATGCTCGGGCCCAGGAAAGGGAACCAGCGCAGCTCCGCGCAACTTTGTGCGTGGCACCACAACATACCACAACATACCACTGCCAATCCAATAGTGCTCCTTTGAGGCGAAATCCACTTCGTTCCCGTCTCTTTGAAACTGGAACTGCCCCTCGGCACGGTGTCATGTTTTCAGCCGTGGAATGATTTGAATGCCACCTGCAAGGCGCCTAGCCATCTTTGGTGATCTTTGGTCAGACCCCTTGGAGTTGAAGCAACAGATGGACAAGGCAGGTAGAACTCCCGACATTGTCCGATTTGTCCGGGTCCCATTGCTCCCATTGCTCCCATTGCTCCCATTGCTCCCATTGGTCCCATCATTTCTTGCGAAGCTCAGTTTTTGGAGGTCAGCATACCTGTGCCCGTTGACGGAATTGCCGAGCACAACACACACTTTCAGCGCCTGGGCATTGTGTGGAGTTTGCCATTGCGTGAAGCCAAAGGTGTGATAAGGCGAAAGAAGGTGTGGATGCAGATGGAATGTGGATATTCCACTGAAATCAATATAATCAATTACACAAAGCGCGTTGGATTGTAATTACCCTTGTCTATCTCGGACGCATTTGGATACCAAGGGCGATTGTCTCTTGGCGCGAGCCTCGAGCAAGCAGCATTTGTTGGATGATTGGAGAAACGAAGGTGACAGTCGCGATTCACTGGTGTAGCCGGTGTAGCCTGGTAATACAACGAAAGTTTCACACTGTTGTATGGTTGGCTGATGTTGGCTGATTGGCATCCTTTGTTGCCAGCCTCAGCAATTTCAACTGTGCCTTGTTCAGCTGGTCTGGCTCAAGCTGCATTTGATTCTGACAGTTCTTGCTTCGTTCACTTCCTTCACCATGCCTGCCGCAATGAAGGTCATGAAGGCGACCAAGGCCAAGAAGGTGAACAGTGCGATGAAGACCAAGGGTCAGAAGGCCATGACCAAGGGAAGCCTTTTGACTGCTTTGGCCGATGCCACCGAACTCAAGAAGGGCGACGTGGGCAAAATCCTGAACTCTTTGACCGAGATTGGAACTGAGGAGGTGAAGAAGTCTGGCAAGTTCATTCTTCCAGGGCTCTGCATGATCAAGACCAGGCAGAAGCCAGCCACAAAAGCAGGCAAGAAGTTGATGTTCGGCAAGGAAGTCATGGTCAAGGCCCAGCCTGCAAAGACTGTCGTGAAGGCATCTCCTGTTGCGGCTCTCAAGAGTCAGATCTGAGGCCATGGTTAGGCCATGGAGCTGTAGCCAAAAGAGCTAGTGGCACCTTGGGGGGTAGGAGCACAACTAGATTTTTGAGGCACAGCACGCTGTACACTATATACATTATACTGCTTCAGAGAGTTGCGACAGTTGCGATTTGCGAAAAGTGGATGTGTTGTTACATGAAGACCAAGGGAGATCCAGTGCTCTTTATGTTTCAGGCAGCTTGGTCTCGCTATGTGACCTTGTGGAATTCTGACAGCTTCATACAGCTGCAGTAAGCCAGACATGAGAATCTCATCTCGAGTTTTACAGACATCAATAACAATAACTTCATTTAAATCAATATGCGTTATGGTTGCGATGCTTTCGAGGGAACCAGGGCAAGACACATTTTCCATGGCGATCTTTGCACAGAACTGTTGGGGTCTTCTTATGCTTTCAGAAATGTCACAGTTCTCCAGACTGGATCTGTCGGATGTTGGTGCAAATTTGAGGTCCGCCCTTGGAAAGCCCTTGACCGTCGTGGTGCATAGTCCTACCTGGATTGCTGAAACTTGACGGCACTTTTGGTGGCAAACAACTTGAGTTGGGGATCAAGTGGGCTTGGCTCAACTACCAAACAACTTGAGGCGTGTTTCTCATCCAACAATGTGTCAACCGTGTTAAATCGTGTTAAAAGTGTAATTTTCTCATATTTTCTCATATTTTCTCAACCAGCTGTTAACCATGTTGGCAAAGTTTGGCAAAGTTTGGCAACTGCCCAGTGCCAAGTCTCCTGAGGACCATGTTTGTGCGGAGCACCTTGGCTTCGCTTTCCAGGGAAAGCAGGCGCCGCAATGTGAGTAGAAAACTGTATCGATTTGCATGGATTCGCATCGTTGAGTGTCAGACTTCAGATTTTGAAGAGCATCAATTCAGCATCAATTCAGCTATTCATGTATTTTGGATTGTATCAATCAGCTGTATCAATCAGCTGTGATGCTGTTCAAACCGACTATGCTCGATGGTCTCAGGGACCTGCGAAGGACGTGTTTCCGGTCAAAGGCACCCAAGGCACCGAAGGCAGGGCACATGCCGTGTGAACATCAACGAATCATCGAATCATCGAATGGGAATTCTTCGGGATATCTTAAGAATCGGGCCTTGGGATGCCTTAGGGATATGGCATATGCAATGCAATTGAAATGCAATATTTATATGATATACTAAGTGTTACTAAGTTCAATACGAAGGAATATGTAAGACCTACTGTACGACGTGCACCTGGAGTAGGTGACATTACTTCCCTGTGAAAGGCCCATTCACAACTCAATGCACTTCTCAATAGATTCTAATCTTCATTTTCCAAATTCAATTCTAACACAGTTTCGAGAAACACTGTCTATTTCAAGACATTTGTTTGAAACTTTGTGTCTTTGCCAACTTTGCAAAGCCTGTACATTTTGATCATTTTGTTTTCTCAGGGCCTCCTTGGAGCCAGGCAAACCTCGCATGCTACCCTTGGACTGTCGGGCCACTCATGTTGGCTTCAAGTCGGCTCCTCAACACCAGAGTCACCGAAGTACGAGAAGTATGCAGCACTGGCTGATATCATGTGATACCAGAAAACTTCAGTACGATAGTACCAGAAACGATCAGAAACAGGCTGCAATTGATCACTGGAAGAGACCCTGCGCTAGAACTGCTCAGCTCATATGACTCATGAGCTTGTTTGCCAACAAGGCTCTTTGGGCAGTACTGCATGTCAGAGGCATGACTTCTTCGAAAGCAGACTTTGGGCATGCATCCTGCAGCAACCTTGCACTCCAAAACACCTTGAACAGAGCATAAAATCTTTTCCAGAAAGGTTGCTACAAGTTCTGTTCGTGAAAGAGTCGAAACGGATCTACACATAGTGAAACCTGCAGCAAATGTGCAGATAACGCACGCACAGAGAAGACGCCCACATTGATCATTGAATACACGTTCAAAACATTCACAGAACAGTTTCCAAGAGATGCGAAGACATGAACAGACCCGGACTCCAAGAGTGCCGTTGCATGCCGTTGCCTTGGCTTTTTTGTTTGGCGTTTCTGTGTAGCCTTGGAAATCAGGGAGCCGTTTGTTTCGGTTCGAAGGCTCTGTGCTGTGTCAGGCGGTGTCCCTGGCGGCGCTGAGCGTCACGCAGATGCCATTGAAGGCCAAGCGAAAAGAGGTGGGATCGGTTGCGAAAGCCCGACAGAAACATGACATGTTTAGATGAACTCATGCTGGATGGACATATATAGATTATATATAGATAAATAATGAATAATAATGATAAATATAAGACATATGGGCCATATGGGATGTAATATGAAGGATAGAGTTTGTACAGTTTTTCTGTACATTTGTCCAACAACGCAGCTCGCAAAGTTGCCTTTGGGGGAAATTGAGTGAAATTCCCCATAAGTCTTGACGGCCTGTCACAAAGCTGCACGGCCTTCGAGACACTCAGTTGCAAGGCTCATGCTCACGAGGAAATGCTTCTAGGCGGGGAGATTGGGGAGAGGCCGTGACGTTACGTTGCATTTCGAAATGTGCACCTGCAGTGGTCTCAACATTAAAGGGTTCTCTTTGGAAAAATGGTTTCTTTTTTTCTGCTTCTTGGGACATGCGCGTTTTGAGGCCTGCACTTTACCGAGCGTATGGAAGCCGGCTTGGGCATTCGGGTTCTACATGTGGTGCCTGGACAGGCAGGATCCATAGGTCTACATTGTGGAGTCTACATGAGTTTACAGCGAGCGTTGCTCTATAGATTCGCTATAGATCTACTGCGATGAAGGCGGAAGGCCCGGGCCGAGACGGTTTCTATCGGTTTCTCATGTCAGGTAGCCGTGAACGCCACGGGACGGAAAATTTCGCTGCGTCCTGCTTCGCGTTCCAGGTGCGGGTCATGACACTGGGAGTGGCTGAAAGACAGAGACGCATCTGCAGTTGCCATATGTAGCGACACTTGATGGATGCAAATCTGGGCATGGGTCAAAACAAAACACGCCAACATGGGTAGGTCAGCATCCCCAAACGGCCTTTTCATGCCTTTTCTAATCTATTCTATTCATTCTTGGATGTTCAGCCGGGTGCCAGGGTTTTAATGCACATCCTGCTTTTACATGACGTGTACTGCACTAAGTTCTCGAATCTCATTCAGCCATTTCAATATTCACGCTGCAGGGCTGACACTTCAACTGAGCATGCAGGGTGCCCAGAACCGTCTGAAGAGTAGCGTATTGGTGTTGAGATTTGGGAAGCATCTTTGTAGCATTAATGGACATTAATGGACATTAATGGAAACCATCTTGGCAGTGTCACCAGAAGCACAATGCTGCCTCAGATTCTGGAACTGGCTCCCGGAGATCGAATCCCAGTGCACTGGGGAAATGGACAGGAGCTTTGCAATCGGACAAACACATTGTAGTGCCTGAAGTACTGATGGATTGCGAGCGCACACACACACACATGTCATGTTAGCTAACTTAGCTTTGAAGATGCCCTGACTTTTTTCGTTCAGCCCAAACTGCTGCATTGTTTTTTCGAGTATATAATTATATATATACACACCAGTGTATAATGTTTTCAATGGTCCTTGAGAATATTTCAACTTCAAGCTCCGCAGGAGCTCTTCCTGCAAGCATCCATCAGTACGGAAGCAAACGGAGTTGAAAAACATCTCAATGGTCAGAGCTGTCACAGCTATCCTCGGTCGCACTGGTCTGGCCGATTACCGGTAGGCGACAGGGTGACCGGGACAGGGTGACTGGGATGACAGGGATGACTGGGTAGCTGTTTCATGCCTCAACTTTTGCTTTGCCTCCAAGTTTTCTATAGTTTTCTGAGTTCTGAAGTTTTCTTGTGAAGCTGATTGAAGCTGATTGAAGCTGATAAGTCTCAGCTTGGGTCTCAGGCAGTGTCGGGGAGTACTCCTTTCAGTACGCTTCTTCAAGCTTGGAAAATTTCCGCGTGGAGGCGGGCTCAAATTGCGGATAAGATTTGCGACGCATGACCAAGCGAAAAATGTCAAGCAAGGGGTCAGGGTCGGCGTCTGACTAGCTCTGAAACACTCCGTGCATTTTGAGGGGCGAGTTTTTTCAAAGAGACATTGATTTCAACAGCGAAGTCAGATGCTTTTTGCAACTTCTACAGCAGCCCTCTAGATGGTCCTGAGAGGAGCTTCCATATTCAGTCATCTTCAGTCCTTTTTGGGCTCCACGTTGACAATCTGTGGGGTCCAAGTCGAACTCATGTTGACAGGTGCGAAGCGTTGACGCCACGAAGTATTTTGTTTTTCGTGAGGCACAGGGACTTCTGGGCCACAGTTTGCACTTCAACATATTTCAACTGATAGACATATGCTACATGGAATTCCTGCATGGATCTACATGGGGCACTGGGGAAGAATGGCACATATTGATACATATTGACATATTAATGCATATTGCACATGGCAGACGAAGAATTCGAATTTGCACATTGAAAAAAATCGAGTGCCAGCAGGCTGGGAACAGCACACCTATCCTTTTGAAGAATCTGAGCTCAGAGTCTTGGCAAAGCCGGTCTAGGCAAAAGGCGCAGTATTAGTATGACTCCAATGCATGACATGTATATATATACAGAATATAATACAATACAATACAATACAATATAATATCATGTAGTGCAATGATACAAAATAATAACATTATATTATATTACCTTATATTATATAATGTTATATTATATTACATAGATTAGATTATATTAGAGTACTTTATATTTCATCATATTATATCATATGATATCATATGATATTGTATCAAATTCTATCATTTTATATCATGTTATATCACATTACATCATACTATATCATACTATATCATATTATATCATATTAATTATATTATGTTATATTACATCTTACATTATATATTATATTGTACCATATTATGTTATACTATATTATATTATACTATATTATATTATACTATATTGTATTATACTATATTATATTATATCATATTACATTATATATTATATTCGATCATATTATATCATATTTTACATTATATTATATTATATTATATTACATTGTATTATATTATATTATAGTATAGTATAGTAGTGCATTGTATTGTATTGTATCATATTCATATTATATTATATGTAATATTATGAATGTAAGTCTATGTATGTATCCAGAACTTGCTGTAACATGATGTGCTGGCCGAAATCTCAAGCTTCTACGAAACCAGGATGTGTGTTTCTGCAGTTCCGCAAGTCGGGACACAGTAACTCAGGAACCTCTGCTTTTCCAACAGGACCTGCCCCCAAGCTGGTCCATGGAGGACTGTTTCGGAAGATTTGACTCGTCAGACTCGTCAGCTGTTTGAGTTTGAAGATTGCAGTGGAGAAAATGAGAAAGCAGGAGACATCAGGAGACATTTTTTCTTCCTTGGTTTGTCATGACAGACATTTCTGTGAGATATCTGTGGAAGGCTTCTGAAGACAACTCGGATAGACAGCCACTCTGCTGCGTTTGTGGGCACTGCGCATATGGGGCAAGATGGATTTCTTGATGCATTTCTTTGCGCCCTGGTGGCGTGATACTCCCAGCAATACTGGATTGGGTGACCTGACCATACCAATTCACTGATGAACACACACACACATTTTTGCAGCCCCTGTGCCATTTTGTCCAAAAAAAACCTTCTTATCAACTCAATAAGATTCGATACTAGTGACACTAGCAAATTCAAGTCCTGGACAGAGAAGACTTGAAGGTTGTTGTTCGTCCTTGTGGTTCTTCCGATTTCATGTTTCCAAGGAGGTGGTTTTCCAAGAGCTTCACAAGCAGCAGTAACTTGCCTGGAAGTCGCAAGTGACTGCTCTGCTGACGTCTCAGTGCCTAAGCATCAGCACCGTGGCCTAGGCCACAGCACGCCGGAAATGGTCTGGACCACAGAGAGTCCGTGGCGACATCAAGTTGTTCGCAAGGTGTTTGCAAGGTGTTTGTGCATATTTGTGCAATGAATAAAGATCTTCCAACTCAGGTACACCATCGAGATCGAGGGCTGAAGCTTGAACCGGGCCAATCTATGCCGTTCGTTTGGTCACTTAGAACGGACCTTGCAAACGACATCCTGAGCTTAGAGGATTGAATGAATGTAACAATAGACAAAAAGTTGAAGAGCGTTGCGCTGCTGTTTCGAGGCATGGGCAGAACCAGCGCCAGAGCCGCCACATCAGCGGAAACTGGAGGTGTCTACACTACACAGTTCGGTTGGGAATCGAGTTGTGAGATTTGATTCGTTGCTCTCGTTGCTCACTAGGTACGCAGTTGCAGAGCACCACTTGTTGCACGCCTGGTTTTGGAGACGCTCGACCAAAGCTTTGGATCCGTCAGAGCAAAGTGTTTGGATTGAATTGATTCAGATAAATATGATCTATCTATCTACCTACCTACCTACCTATCTATCTATCTACCTATCTACATACAGTACATTATTAAATTATAGTCCCATGTGCAGCATTGCACATATTACGGAAAGGAAACCGCGGCATTGCAAAATAGATGGGGGCTGTTTGCCGTGGAATATTTGCCACCTTTGCACTGTGCACTGAGGAAGACCGAGAGGTCTCTCCCCTTGCCAATTGCCTCTCAACCGAAGTCACTTGACTTGAAATGGTCTCCACAATGTACCAAGAATATCCAAGAATATCATAGGCAAATCATCCACAGGATCTCATACTCCTTCTCCAACAATTGTGATTCCTGCAGTCTTGCCATCTTGGTTTCCTTTGGACAGCTTTCCTTGGATCTTGCCATGCAGAAAAGCCCCAGGCTGTTCTACGATGTGGTAACCTCTGGCCCCAGCTTGGTGATGACTGTGAGAAATGAACCAAGGCTCGCCAGATAGGATGACGTGTGCAGACCGAATAAACTGAGAGTTGTTTAAAAATCACAAGACTCTTTCCAGTTTAGTGTATTCTCTCAACAATGCCATAGAGTGATCATACAACCTTCTGTGATATTATGTGGTGTTGGAAAATGACAATACACTGCGTCACTACATATGCAAGGCATTAAGCACCAGCATTTAGCCTTTGCTGCATTGCTTGTTCACAGAATCACAGACATCAAGAGATGCCAAGAGACCAGTAGCCATGCCAGGCCAGAAGTAGCTGTGCGAACTTCAGGTGGCGAGTTACACGAGTTACAGGTTTGCAGCTGAGTACCAGGCACAAACATGACATGAGTTACATGTTTGCCGCTGATTGAGGTCAGAGGGATTGGTTTGCACATGTAGAAATTATAGAATCTTTACATAGAATGTCGCAATCTACAGATAATTTCATCATGCAATCTACATGTCATCTACAAGATTAAAAACGACACTCTATTGACAAATTTGACAATCTATAAATTATAAATATCATGAATATCATGAATATCATGAATATCTATATAAATCCCCATTTAAAATTTTTAAAATCCATTTCGGACACCGTCTATGGACCCTCCAAGGTGAAGGTGAATCTCGCCGGACTGGGCTTCTCCTTGGTCGCTCCAACCTCCTGTGCCTTGGCCACGCCACGAACCGGGTTTCGAGTGGCTGATGCTTGCGACTTGCCATGCGAGGTGCTTTTCCAGAAGCTCAGGCATGGAGAATGTGCCCAAATATATACAGCAGACATCAGTAGACATCAGTAGACTATAGTCATTTAGGAATCCCACGGAAGTGATGGTGCAAGTGGCTTTGAAGCTTTTTGCTCAGATTTCGCTGCTTTGCATTTGCAGATCTGTGCTTGTTGCATCTTGTGTTTGGTACACAGGATGACGGCGACGTGCCTTGGTGAAGAATGGCAGCTCCGGGTGTCAGAGAAACCAATCAGAACGGAATCCTTGAGGGACCGAGAGAAAGCAGATCCTGGAACAGAAAATGTCACACATTCATTTGTTTAGACAGTACATGTAATTACATATACATAATATATGTATATTCATTCATTCCCTCCTTCCTTCATTCATTCCTTCCTGCCTTCATTCATTCATATTCAATATATTTGTGCAGAAAAGATGTGGAGATCTTTCTGTGAGTCTGTGAACTGACTTAAATGACTTAAATGACCGTAGCACACAGCTGGGCAGTCACGGCACAGGTCCTTCGGAGGGAGATGCTGTACTGCTCTGTGGACAAAGTGCTGGGAAGCTTTCGCCGCTACGATGACATTGAGACAGCAGAGCTTACCTTGCAGGAGGCCATGGCCCATGGCATCCCATGGCCATCCATGGCCCAATAGATCCGATGGATCCAATGTATCCAATGGATCCAGTCAAGAGTCGGTCAAGAGTTGGGTATGCAGTGCCACTTTGCCACTAAAAAGAGTATTGGCCGAATCAAGTGATTCAAAAATGATCAGACCAATGATTCTATATCAGGATTCTATGCTCCAATAGCCGCAGGTGCAAGTGGACAATCAGCGCGATGATGCCATGCACCCTGTCCTGTTGAAGCGCCTACGCAAAGGGAAGGCTTGGACTAGTCGGTCTTGAGGTTTCTGAAAGTCATCAAAGAGATCAAACAGATTAAACAGATTACTGAAAGACAATCCAATAGAATCTGATAGAAGATTGACCCAGCTTGATCATGTTTCTAGCATGGCAGGACGACGCAGCGCCGTTGCTTGGAGAAGAAAACATGGTTTTGATGGACATCTCTCACGTGAAACGGCGTGAGAAATTTAAGAGGAGAACAAGAGAACTCCTGCAGTTGAGGGCAAACACAATTCCCTTCGAACTGCAAAAGATTAAGGCAACAACAGGTCACTTCATGTCTAGTCTTGTGGCTCCTGACAATCTTACTGCACCTAGCACTTTTTCTGCAGGTTCAAGGTGTAAGAATAGATTTGTGATATGATTTGTGCATGCTCAAAGAAGAACATGTTTGTCGTTTGGACTGCAGACAGCAGCTGAGATGAAACCGCGCACACTATTTGAACTTAGATGCTACAAGTCATATACAAGTCATACAGAAGTCGTCCTGCAAGTCATACTGTAGGGCCAGAGGACCATGAACGACCACGAAGCAGCGGCTGAGGCTTTTGCGCTTGGAGTTTAGCCGTTTTTGTGACCCGCAGAGACCGCAGCTGCTGAATTTTGATCGCTTGGAACTGGGGCTGAGGAGATTTCGACGGGGGCGTTGCGATTTCAGTTCTGTGAGTTCTTTGGGTCCTGTGCTTTTGAATCTTAGAACTTTTTCCCGGGGCTGACGCAGAGTGAGTTGAGATTCTGATGACCAGTGTGTAACTATTGTAACTAGGACCAATATGTTGGGTAGAGGGGGGGGTTAGCCCAGAAATTCCTGACCTTGCTGCACTGGGCTATCCTCCCCGTCAGGATGAGAGAGGCCAGATGACTGTTGGCGGGTTGGGGTGGGGGGGATGTTAACGTTCCATGTGACTTGCTCTCGTTGTTGATGGTACGCCCCGCAGGGGGTGGGGTGGGGGGGTGAGGTAGGTTTCCCCGTATTGAGGGAGCCCCGGAATCTACTTAAACACCTGTAGTCACGAAAGTGGCGGCTGCAATCTTTTTACACGCGGGCTTGCAGTAATCTTGAGCCATGCGGAGCGGCGAATGAAACATAATGAATTATGTGTACATGTCAACATGCATGAAAGCATTGTGTAGACACGTAAAACAAAATAAGCAACAAACAGACACAAATTTTCTTCGTGTCGTAACATGCTGCTGTCTTTCACAAGAAGCGCTCAGCTTGTGATCTGCTGTGAGACGAGTCCGAAGACAAAATCAAAAACTGTACAAACAGCTACTGGAAGCTACAGGCAGGCTGGCCGCAAATGCGGCACATGTGCATTGGAAGGACTTACAGTCCCATCGAGAAGGTGTATCCATAGAAATTCATTTCGTTTCTTCTTCTCAGTTTTCCTGATTGGTGGAAAAAGATCGATTGATCTGGAGTTTGTGGAATCACATCCAACCAGGAACCATCGTATTTTTGAATCCATCTTTGTCGTGGAATAGTATATCCTGGAACGTATTCCACATTGCTTGTACCGGGATTTGCTCGGTAGTATGATGGTTGATTGTATGAATAACCGTAATCTCGGTATCCTGAAGAGCTTGATGATGTTCCCTGATAACCTTGGTCTAGCCATTGCGAACCCGTCATGCGAGGTGGAGGCGCTGGCGGCTCAGGAATGTTATATGGTCGGGTTCTCTCATTCCAATCTGACCTGGAGTCAGTACGCTTGTGAGTGTTGCGATGGTCCGGTGTCTGGGATCGTTGGCGACCCCTCTCTTGCAAACGCCATGGAGGTGTATTGGCTGATTTTCCAACTGTCCGCGAAGGAAAAGTTGGATCATTGCTTGGTGACCTAGCTGACCGAGCAGGCGGTGCTGGAGGTGCAACTGGAGGTGCTTTGACCGGTGGTGTGACATTTGAAGTGGATGTTGGCGCTGGGTTGATGGATGCTGGTGCAGCCTTGTAGCGTATTTTTGTTGGTGGTGCTGGTGGTGTTTTCGGTGGTGTAACTGGCGCTCGCACAGGCGCCGGAGGCGGCTGTGGAGTGCGTGCGGCAGGATCTCTGCTTTTGGCTCGGCTGGCCGAGTGAGATCTCTGTTCACCAACATTTTTAAAGGTGTCTCTCCGCAAAGGCGGAACACTATCCTTTCTTTCGCGACGTTCTGCTCTGGAATCGTCACGGTTTTCCTTGTATTTTTCATTTTTCCTTTCCCAGCGTTCTCTTCTCCGGTCTTCGGATTGCTGCGACCCAAGCCGCATGTTTTTGAGAGCCTTCAGTTGAACGAATGTCATCAAGGGAGAATGCGAGGCACAATCTTTTTCGGAAAGTCCCATGTCATAAGGCAGGAGGTGCTTCAGTTGTTCTACGTCATTGAGCATCACCTCATCAGAAAACGCGGAGCCGACAAAGCCGTCTCCAGATGCGGATTCTTCTCTGCCTCGGGCTTCAGTCACTGGAACTTGCTTTCCGTAACACAAAGAAATTAAAATCATAGAATCACAATCACCATCATTGCCTTCCATACTTCTAATATATTCAGCGGCAGCTGTTGAAGAAACTACGTTATACGTAATACGACTGATGGGACTTCGATGCAAATTGATCTGTTGGACTGTTGGAGAAATCTTTCAAGAATGTCAATCATGATGCACGTCCGAAAGTCGGAATGGTCGTCAGCCTTGAAACTATGTTGAGCAAAAAGGTTGCCATCTCCTGTAATAAAATCACATTGGTGTTCGACGCAGCTGGCAACAAACCTTAGCCATTTCTGGCATGTTTCTTAATGAGCATGTGTCCAAGCAAACGACGAAATGTGAAACACCGCAATGCGGACTTCAGCCAGGAGAAGGCGTCGCACGTCATGCGTGTCTGCGCCAGGATCTACTGAACAAACTTCGGCACTCACTGCACGGAGATCACCGTCGATTTCGCAGATGGAGTGGTCCTGAAAATCCAATGTGGTTGCTATGGTCGGCCGTGCTGCTGTACAGCGTGTTCTACATTTCGGCTGATGTCAGGCTTTGGAACTCGAACTCCGGTAGACGGATTTACAGATTCACCTGAGGTGTTCTCTCCGTGGCACAGGCGGAAGATTGCTCCATGGAGGAGCCAGAACGGATTGGCCTTATTCTCGGTTTCGTGTTGGTGATGTCCAAGGAGTTCAATGAAAGAGCCAACGTAATGATCACCTCGGATAAAAATGGCAAGTGATTGAGAATTTATTGCCGGGTGAACTACCATGCCGATCATTCCATGTTCCTTTTGGTGAATTGCAATTCCTCCGTATTCATCGGAAGCTTCACGCAAACAAACGATATGAGCCGCTTTGCGGAAAACCAGATAAGGAAGAGCACGATAGTCAGTGTCCTTCCTAACGCATTTTGGAAATTTGGAACTGCCTCCGATATACGGAACACGGTTGATGTGACCAAGGTTCAAAGTTAAAATGCCAAGCTGGTAAATGTCTCTCTGGAATTCATGAATATTCTCCTTGGTGCGCTTGACAACACCTTGGACAGCTCGTTTTCCGAGGAGACAAGACCTGAAAAGTTCCAATAAACGGAGAATTTCGGTGTCGGTCAACCAAGGACCTTCTGGATATTTAAAGTAAATCATTGGACGCCAAATAGGCAAAGGTGTTTCGTCCTGTGCATCAATATAGTGCTCTTCCAAAGTCAGAACACGATTCGCACCGTCCATGCGGTAGATGAATCCTGTGTAGTCAAGAAAATTCAATACCGTGTTTTGCAAAGCTTTGCAAATAAGAGTTGCCACGGGTTCGACCTTCCTTCAAGTGCTGAATAAGTTCTTGGTAACCTTCTTGTCGATTCTGGGCATGTTCAGATCTGGTTGCACCAAAATAAGATGATTCGGCTAGAACAGCATCAATGAGAACTTCGATATCGAAAGGTGAATCACTGGAACCAATGCTGTCAGGCAGAAAACCGGCTGAAAGATAATATTGTGATCACACGCCAAGCCGTTAGTACGGCATTCAAGGCAAAAAGCTAGTCCGCAGGGATGACACCAAAACATGGCCTCAGCACAACCACAATCATTAAAATTGTTGCAGCACTGTGGACCAGTCGGGCGCTGGAACCACTCGAGTTTATCGGTCTCTTTCTTGAACTTGGTGAAGAACTTCTTCGCAGCTTCGGCGTCTTTAAAGAGCTCCTTAGCTTGAGTTGATGTTTCTCGCCTAGCCGCAGACCGAATTACGGATTCACGCCGGTGTCCTTGCGCCGTAGATGCGGCAGATCGGAATCGGATGCTTCTGCAGATTCGACCGTTCCTGCGGTACTTTTCTGCTTCTTAGGCATTGGTTTGGCCTGAATTTTCTTTTTGGGCATTTCGCTCTCGGAGGTCGAAGACACTTCCTAGGCCTTCTCTTTCTGGAGATGGTCCTTAAACCTTTGAGTAATCTCCTTCCTGAGAGCGTTGATCTTCCTGTCGTCGTCCGTTTCCGGAGGTCCTCGTGGTTGGTCATTAGGAGTTGCAATCTGTCGGACAGGTCTGGATGGTCCTACTGGGGCTTGTCGGAAACAATCGAGAAATTTTGACGCTGTAGGAATATCATTGATCTGTTCTGTTACATATTCAACATATTCAGATCGAGTCCAAGTAAAATTGTCAAGTTCATTTTCGTTTTTCTTTTCCCAGTACAATTGATGGTGACAAATATGCATTGCAATATCAATATCAGAGTCATAATCATTCATTCTTTTGAGTTCTGCCGGTTCCGGAATATCGATCCAAGCACGGTCAACCAGGGACCAGACGCCACAAAACCTACTAAACGGTATGGTTTGATCGGTCAGAACATAACGACTCTGAGTAATGACAGGATTTAAATCTGAAACGGCTCCAGGCCTAGCGATCAGGATGCAGTCGGACTCTGGACGCAAGGCGTCCTTCATGGCGCTTAAAATGCAGTCGAGTGCTAGGTGGACATGGTTTCTTCCACCACGGGTACCCCCGGGAAGCAGGCCGAGTCTCCGAATAGACGGAAGGTTTTTCTCGTTGGTGCCATGCACCAGGTACCTCAGTGGGAACATATCAGGCTTAAAAGGACAATGTTGAATTGAAACATCATTGGAATGACCACTTTCGAACCTGAGAAAAATACTTGCTACATCGATGCCATCAAGAACGTCAGCTTGGGCCTCGCGAGCTTGGTCATCGCCGAAATCGGCAGGCATGAACCAAGTATCCGAGTCCGGAATCTTTCCTGGTTCGAAGTTGTCGGTGGTTAAATAACCGATCATGGCTCTGGACTTGTTGGAGTCGCACACGACATGAGCAAGTGGCATAATTAGGAAGCGCATTGTATTGTTCCGGTCTCGGAGACTAATAGGAACTTCACCAACGTCCAGCTGAATAAGTGATTGAAGTCCTTCTCGATACATGGCTCTAATTTTCCGAGCAGTTGCTTGGTGATAAAGAAGTTCGTGCAACGACAGGGACCCGTCCTCATGAAGTAAATTCGTATGACGAAATATATACGACATATGGCGGGAACCCAGTTCAAAGTAATAATCCGCTAATGCGGCATCATGGTCTTCGTTGGTTCTTATGCCGGGACTGCTTTCGGAGTACCTGAGCAATACATTGAGTAAAACAAAGATTGTTAGTTCGAATTGAATCAATATCAGCATGAAAGGCATCCTCGATTATACGAGTGCGTTGCTCTTGATTGGATTTGTCACGTGGCTGGCGTCTGTCCGAAA